GCCAGGTGATCACCGCCTTGGGCAAGACCTGGCATCCGGAGCACTTTACGTGCAACCACTGCAGCCAGGAGTTGGGCACCCGCAATTTCTTCGAACGCGACGGCTTCCCCTACTGCGAGCCGGACTACCACAATCTGTTCAGCCCGCGTTGCGCCTACTGCAATGGGGCCATTCTGGACAAGTGCGTCACGGCGCTGGACAAGACCTGGCACACGGAGCACTTCTTCTGCGCCCAGTGCGGCCAGCAGTTCGGCGAGGAGGGATTCCATGAGCGCGATGGCAAGCCCTACTGCCGCAACGACTACTTCGAGATGTTCGCCCCGAAGTGCAACGGCTGCAACAGGGCCATCATGGAGAACTACATCTCGGCACTGAACTCGCAGTGGCATCCAGACTGCTTCGTCTGCAGGGTAAGTTTCTATCCAATAATAATCCTTATTAAATGCTATTTTCTTTTCGCCCAGAAGGTAGCAAACTTTTCACAGTTCAAAAAGTCAATTAAAATATGGATTTCATTAATCTATATTTTTATTTACCATCCAAACACTATGGCCAGATATTGGTTTTTAAATAATATAGACCTTCTGTTTAAACATAAATTATATTAATTCCACTGCAACATATATTAACTAATATTGACCTTTTCAAGAATACTATTCTTTTGTCTTCTAAAAAACATGCATTAACTAGAAAGCAATTAAATTCCATTGCCTAACTAAATATTTAGATAGTTGAAAAAATATTTAATAATCTCTGGAGATTATCTGCTGCCCCAATGATAATTTGTAACAAGAGTGCACTTTTTAATCGCTCATCCTGGTCACGTTTATCCTTTAGGATTGCAAGGAGGCCGTTCGCGGCAAGTCCTTCTATGCCATGGAGGGCAAGCCCGTGTGTCCAAAGTGCGTGGGCGTCGATGAGGAGGAATAGGAGAGATCCAACAGCAGCAGCAGCACCAAAACTTGTTGCTGAAGTTCAGCAGCCAAACGAAAATAGAACCCGGTGGCAGCAGCGGCTTTAGATACATTTTTGTATCTAGTTGCGTGCCACTTTTTTTTTTATTATCAACGTCATGAAGAACTGGCGGCCCAAAACAGCTGCCCGCCGTCCGTCTCGGGCTATTTTCGTTGCGGGTCTAGGAGCAACACAACAGCAGCAACATATATACAGCAGCAGCAGCAGCAACACGCACAGCAGCAACATCGGCAGTGGCAACAGCAATTTAAACCCCTTTTAACCCCCCTTTTTCGCTCGCCCAGCTGGCCCGCTCCTTTGGGGCAGGTGCCGCTGGGGAAAATGAGTCTCGAGATCCCTGAAAACCAGCCCTCTATGATGGTCTTTTTGCCCCCAATCCGCCCTTGCCCCTGAACCCCCGACTTGTTGAACTTTTTCTATGCAATTTTTGTAGGCTTAAGTTTATAGGTACTTTTTAAATTTAAAATCATTTATGAAAATGACCAACAATATTGTAATTTGTTTTTGTAAATAAAATTTTAATAATTACACATTAAAAATGAAAAACAAACTAAAAAAGAGAACAAAACAACCAACAAAAAACAAGAACAGAAAATGGGAAATGGAAAAGATGAAAAGTGTTTGTAAGCTTTTCAAGGTGGCGGCGACCTTCGGGCGGCATCCACCCACCCAAAGCCACCCAATGAGACCTCGTGTCAAGGTCAGTGTCAGTGTGCTGGCCTTGACACATGTGTCTGTTGCCATCGACTTGGAACCACCCCCACAGTTTTCTGTTCTTGTTGCTGTTGTTCCGGTTGATAAACAAATTACAATATTGTGGATTAGATTTTCGATTAGCGAAAGCAATAATTTTTAGCAGCTGAGACTATTTTCGTTGCTGACGTTGTAGTCAGCATTTCTATGCTTCCCATAGTACTTGTCTATATATCTGTCTATAATGGACGTAAGATTCGCACTGTTTATTGCCCGACTTTAATGGGCACCCCAGGGTGTTAATTGAATTGATTGTTCTAACTAAATTTAAATATATTCGTCAATCGTAGTCAACTGGATCTCGCCAGTTCTCGATTTGGATAGCCAAAAATAGCAGAACTGCAATCTTTATAAAATTATATAAAATACGTAATTGAAATTCTCCATTGACTGAAGGAAAATTCGTGCCATATATACTTTTGGTTTATTTTTAGTTCATATCGATATTGATTATTTGTTTTAATTTTTGTTGCTGTGTGCCCCACTTATGAGTTTCCTTTCATATAATCAAAAAAGAAAATTTATGAAATGTTTCAGGGGAAATAGTTGCACCTGTTGTTTATGGAATGATTGATTCGTATGAGGTGGTGAAAAACGAAAATAGGTTTTCACCCGCAGCTATCACGTTCTCAATGATCCTTTTGCTCCACAGTTCGTTTGCTGTTGTCGGTTGAATGATATTGTCCTCTGCCCTTCTCTGTTTCTTTCCACCCACCAACATTTGGATACTGGCCAAAAGCGTGCGCAAAATGTTATTGTCTTAAGACAATTGTTGCTGTTCCTGCTGCTGCTGAAATGTTTTTCCAAAAGACCAACAAAAATGAAACAAATGTCTTGGCCACTGTTCTTTCATATATTTATCATATTTAAATTTCCTCGAATCTTGTTTTTGAAATGTACAATCTCTTCTTTCCAATTAGCTTGACACTATGCACAGTGGGACCAGAGATGGTATCGTATTGGCCCGTTCGACACTTTTGGTTTGACAAAATTCTAATTAGGTACTTCAGGCCAGGCGTAAAATTTTGCACATCAAATATTATGTTGTCGACTCTCGATCGGTTTGCTGGTTCGTCATGCTATATGACAACTAATTTATGGTCGTAATTAGCCTCCGACGGGGACTGCACGACCATTTGGCCCACAATACATCATCCTAGTACCTCACATATATTTTTAAATCACACATAATCGTACATCTAGTACCCAAATAATGTAGTTTTTATTTTAAGGCGCAGTAACTATTTCTAGTTGCTATATACTGTGTTTTTAAGAAATCCATGCCTTATAGAAATATTTAGTATTATAAACCATACACACCATAATATCATAAACCATGCACAGTTAAGACTTTTGGGCTTAAAAAACTATGATATATAAATTTATAATTTACCTTCAAGACACTAATATTCACCGTGATTTTTTCTCCCACACACAGGACTGTCGACAGCCCTTCCAGGGAGGATCGTTCTTTGACCACGAGGGACTACCGTACTGTGAGACGCACTACCATGCCAAGCGGGGATCACTGTGCGCCGGGTGCTCGAAACCCATCACCGGACGCTGCATCACGGCCATGTTCAAGAAATTCCACCCGGAACACTTTGTCTGCGCCTTCTGCCTCAAGCAGTTGAACAAGGGCACTTTCAAGGAGCAGAAGGACAAGCCGTACTGCCACACCTGCTTTGACAAGATATTCGGTTAAATTCGCAGCTGCCAAAACCTAGTTATGGATACAATACTGTTTTTTATACGATTTACGAACCCTATCCCACACGCACAACACACCTATACACCCGTACACCTACTTACCGTGCATCTGTGCTTTGTATAACCGAGTCAATTTAGTAATTTAATTAACGCCATTCGAGCAGGATACGATAATAAAATGCAATCGTAATCAATTAGCAGACACTAATCCTAATAAATTATGTTGGTCACTTTGATATTGCTACTCGTTCGACAAGAAAAAGACCACAGAATGATAAATAAATAAATATGAGAATGTCAAAATATGCAATTTTTATTGCCTACCTCAATGGTTGGTGGGGTAGTAGGTAAAAGCTGAGGGAAAACTTTCACAAAGTGTTCAACAATTTCAACGAGAAAACTAAACGATTTGTGCAAAATTATATGGTATACTTATAGGCAAACAACTAAATTTCAGATAACTATTAGTGATGTTAAGCTAACAGTTGCTTAATCTTTAATTCCTGTCAATTGAGGATAATTTTCACGGATATATTTCGTCGTTGGCTGGATATTTACAGAAAAAAGAAATAAATGAAAAATGGGAGAAAAGGTTGAAAAGTAAAGTTGAGATTTATGAATTCAGCTTAAGAATTTTTTTTACTAGTACTGTAAACGAATTAAATTTAAAACCGATACTGGAGTTAATCACAACTTTGGTCAACCAAAAAAAGTAGGCAATTGATATTGACTAAGCTTTTTCGACCAGTGTAAGTACAAAGATGTAAAATATAAAATTAATATTTCAAGGCCAAGGACTTTCTGGATAAGCCACTTAGCCAAGACCCGAACCCCAGCGTAGTTTTTAGCTTTCTGTTTCTTGTTTGCTCCACATCTTTGTATCTCACTCTCATTCCGAATCTTTTGGATACGGATACAATATACTCACCCACACAGATGAATAACGATGCCGGCCGGTTAACTAATAGTCTCCTGCCTTCTCGCTCTGACAACAGCCACTTGACATTGAGGCCGAAAAGAAGAGGAAGAGGCCAGCTCTCATCGACCCACTCCCCCACACCCCACCACCATCCCCCGCCCAATATTCATCGTACATCCCCAAGAGAGAGAACATCGAGTACACAAAAAGAAAAAACGTTGTCATATCAAGATACTAGGCGAACATTCCAGAATTTTAAAAAAAAATGCTTTTATATGATTTTAAGCTATCTACATAACTACATTAAAAATATATAAATATTTCAAAAAGAGATTGGATCACTGTTCTAGTGAGAGAGTTTCCAGAAGCAGGAGCTTTATTGTCTAAGCCTTTAGTATGTGTCAGCTTTTGTAAACAAAATTGGAGTTCATCTTAATTTACTTAACTTTTTCTACAAAGAAAAATTATATGGAAAATCTAGATGTTTATTTAACCTGCAAATTTTGATATCCATCTGTGTTTATTTGTTTGCTGTGTTCGTGTGGGACTCGCCCCTATAAAAGACCGTAGGGTTCCCATACTTTTATGATTCAGGCGGCGTTATTTTCGCTCTGCTCCGCTCATTCACTTCCCATCCGTTGGCCGTGTCGGTTCGTGGTTTCCCCAATCCAATTCTCCGGTTCACCGCTCCCCGATTCTCAGATTCTCTCGCGGTCGTGTGCCGGTTGTTGTTGCTGTTGTTGTTCTCGGTGCTTTTTTCAATTCCGCGTGCGTGGGTGTGTATGTATATTATTTGTGTTTAATTGCCATTATATTATGAGCTCAGCTGGTAAAGAGTTTTCTAATTTTTGAATCTAATCAGAGCGAAATTTCTTCGGGAGAGAAGAAAAGAGAAGAAAAACAGGGCGGGACGAAGAGAAGCGCCACAGGTTGGTGGTTCGCACACAGATACAGATGCAACGAGAGCATCTCTCACGTGGCCAAAACCAGAGTTTCTGACTCCGATTCTTGGACTTTTCTCTCTCCCGCCTTTTGGGCCCAAAACAGTGCCGTTTCTACCTACTTGTTGTTTTCGCGGTGATGTAATATAAGCCAGCCCCGAAACCGAACCCGAACCCGAGTCCTTAGCCAAACAAATCGCGTACAGGGTGTGTTGATAATACGGTAAAAGCTTTAATGGGGATTTTCGTTTTATTAAAAAATCTTTATTAGATCACAAAAAATACTAGTAAAAATATTTTAGATTTTCCTTGAATCTTTGCTAATATAAAATTGCATTTTAACTGTAGTAATCCATTAAATTGGATTGGAATACTTTAAAGACAACACATACAAAATATAGCAAAAGTCATGGAAATACAATAAATATAAAGCTTACAAATACAAAAGCATTGTGCACCTGTGATTTAGATTATCTTAAAATCATTTCACCTAATTGGCGGCAATTTCAAAATTGATTCTAATCAAGATTGTAAAAGGTATTTAAGTGTTAGTAAGATTAAATCTGTCACGAGAATATTCCGTTTTTATGTATTATTTCCCAGTTCATGTTCACTTCAATTCGGAGATCTAAATTTAAAAGATATTATTGGATTTTCTAACTGAAATTTAGTCATATTTTTTCATGCACAAATTTTTTTAATGTGTTTCGGTTAATGAAACCTTCTACTGTACCACGTCCCTGATATCAGCCTCAATTGGGCTGAATGTGGCCACAATTGAGGGCCCTCTGTGCCGAAGTGTTGATTGTGCGCTAATTTGTCTGGGGTGTGTGTAAATAAAAGTGAAATTAGCCGCTGCAAATTGCATTGTAATTCATTTGAAAACGTCGCTTATGTCGCTTGGCTCCAATTGATTGATAAAAAGGGGAGAGAATAAAAATAAACCACAGGCTATTTTCATGTTCAAGGTTGACTCACAATAGAGTAGTGGTCGGTCAGCAAATTGGGACAATTTCCACCGGCACGCAACAGCGATTGGGTGTACTAATGGGTTTTGCTCATTACATCCTCACCTGGCCACAAATTTCGAGCGGGCTTATCACGTAAGCCAATAGTTTTGTGGCCACTTGGTCGGCCAGCTGTTCAGTGCTTCTCCAACTGTTCCCCCTTATCAGTTTCGGGATTTTTTTTCGTTATTTTATTTTTGTTTGGATTTATGCTTTACAATACACATACTTGTTTATTCTTACTGTTTGATGACATTCGCATACGCCCCTTCTTAAAGCTCTTGACTTCCATTTCCGTTTAAAGTTCTTATTTTGTTTATTTTTCAAACCATCCCCATTGTTTTTCTACCAAGTCGAGTGCAAGCAAACAATTTCGAGTGAAGTGCGGTTTCCTCGTGATTTCGCAAAAATACAGATTGTTAGAATTTCTTGGGTACGAGTACATATCTGAGATTGCGAATTGAGTTGTGCTAATTAAGTGTAGCAGTAAACATTCTGAGAAGGCTATAAGAACCAGTTTATGGTCGGTTTTTCGACCATTTCGTCAACGAAATCTACCCGAACCTAGACAACAAAAACTTATCACTGTGACTGCGGGTTCACGGGTATATTTATTGCTAATTGTTATAATTAGTCGATGGGTGACAACGAATCGGACATTTGTGTTTGTTTTTATCTGTGCTTGAAACGAATAGTGAGTTGACTTGAAAATGACTCAGGTAGAGAAACGATTTGTCGTAAGTGACCGAATGAAACGCTTTAGGGTTTGAATATAATTATATATACGAACTTATTGCTAAGGTTCTTAAGTGAAGAATCTATAATATTACATATATATATATATAGTCACAAAACCTCTATTTGAAGTTATAATGAGGGAATCTACTTTTATTAAGTGCCGTGCTTTTGACGACCAATTTCAGCCTTATCATATTTTTTCGATTTCTCAGAAACCCCGAAAGTGGCTAAATCAAAGTCCACTAGACAAAATTTGACGTATAATTGTATACAAAAAGATAAGATGGTCAACATTAATTGAACTTTGCTTCTGAAGTATCGAATTGTAAGCCGCTAGAAATCTAATTAATTATATGTAGATTATCCGTATCGATGATATTCTCCCTCTTTGAAGTCGTCGGTTTTTAGAGTGAGATATAAATAAACACTGTTTTTCTACTGTATTACCGCATGATCGCTTCATGTTTGAGACTTCTGAGTACTTAATTGACCGGGTGCTCTTTGGGTCACGTAATTCTATTTTTATTCCAAGGACAGGCTTGCAATGCGGGTTGAATGCGTGATTAAATACCTTAGATATCAAGTGTCAATAAATTCAAGCAATTCGTACAAGATTTGATAATCTACGATATATTTATACACTTAGGGCGATTGTGGCAAAACTTCAAAAGGGGATTCCATAATGCTGACGAGTTCTAGACATTTGTCGGAAGCGTGTAGAGAACATTAGTCAGAGGGTACACAGATTATGCTTATCAAGTATAGATTTTTATTGGAATAATATTACCAAAATAGGGAATAAGCGATCGAAAACCTACCTCTCTATCTCTATCTATATCTATTCCGCTCATCCTGATTGATTTCCTATTATCATTTCCAAAGATACATTTTTCAATAGAGATCAATTACTTGCTGCACATAATTTAATTAAACGCCAAGAGCAATAAACAATATAATTTGCTTAACTTGTAAACAAGTCGGGGTAATCTAGATATCGCCCTCCGCCAGCTTGAATGTCTTGAGATCCACATCATCGTACAGAGCCACTTCGTGACCAGGATCCTCCTTCTCCTCGTCCAGCAGACAGTAGATGCTGTCCGACTCCTGTTTAATGATCTCATCCCCCAGTCGCTTCCAGAAGGGACGACAGCGGTTTTTCCACTGGCGCAGGTTGAAGAAGGCACAGTATCTTGTAGTGGATGACTTAAGCATTGCCATATAAAGTGGTGTTATCTCGTCGGCCATTAACTTGGCCTGCAGGTAATTGGCCATCTTGCGTCTGTGTTGATCGTTAAAGTCCACATAAATGCGTTTGGCATGCTCGTAGCACTTCTTTGCAATGCTCGTCATCTGAGTGTCCTTGGCGAAGATTTTCCCCAAGTGTAAAAGGATCTCTGCCTCCAAATCGCGATGGGTGTAAAGACGCGACAAACGAAGTGCACGCTTGTAGCACGAGATCGCTTTGTCCACGTGATCAAAGCTTTTTGATAAGAAAAGGGTTAACAAATACTAAAGAGGCCAAGGAAAGTAAGCTACTTACATCTCAGAACATTGGCCCTGGAATAAATAGTACTTAATGTTCAGCTTGACGAAGCGGTACTCTGTGCAGGCCAAGATCTGGGTGCGGATCTGGTCCAGACATTGCTGTGCCGAGTTATAGTTTCCGATCTCCATTAGAAAGTAAGCACGCTCCAGGAAGGTGTCACAAAAGATTTCCATGTTCTTCTCCCTACCAACTAATAGGGTTGAAATGGGGGTTATTTTGGGCAGTTTTAATAAATGCATACAAAATTTTTTTCAAAGACTATAAAAAAAGCATTAAAATTTTGTGTGTATCAGGAAACTTAGGAATGTTTGCAGAACGGAAATAAATTGAAGGAATGAAATCGTACTCACTTTCCGCTATCAAGACTGTAGCCCTGCGTGCCATGGCCACCGCATCCTCGGGATGCTGGCGCACAATGGCCTTGCCTTGGATGAGGAGTTGCCTGGCGAGATTCTGGGCCACCAGTTCGTGGAGCGTGAGGCTGCCGGCGGGCATGCCAATCTCGGCGGTCCAGACATGACCCCGCACCAGATCCATGGCGATCTGCAGGTAGTTAATGGCCTGGGTGCGCTGACCCGTGTTCACCAGATACGAAGCGTAGGAGTAGTAAATGCGAGAGATGGACTCGGCTGCCTCCCGCTCCTGACCCTCGATTTTGTGACACAGCGAGATGATGTGCTCGTTGAGGGCCACCAGGGCGTATGCGTATTTCTGGCGATATGGCTCCAGCAATTGCATCGTCTCGAAGAACAGGGCGAAACACTGCTTGAGTCCGCGGTGTTTGTTCAGGCAAACGGCCAGTTCGGCATCCCGCAATCGGTGCACCATTCCGTAGAGCAACTCCGAGTCATCGGAAAGGCGTTCCCGGATATTTAGGCTCTCGAAAAGAGCCTGCTCCTTGGTGGCCAGGCAGTGCAGGAAGTCCGGCAGCATGGTGCATCCCGCCCGGCGCAACTCGTCCTCCAGGGCCTCGAAAACTGGTCCCTTAATCCGACGCGCTTCATCGTATGTCAGTGAAGTGATGCCCTCGCGAATGGACTTGCGATCAAAGTTGATCTCCCGGAAGTTTCGGTGCGGAAGATTTCGCTTCACCTGGCGCTTGATTCGCACCACCTCATTCTGCCGCTGAATGGACATAATCCCCGTTTAGTTTTAGGCCAGTGTTTCCTAAAATGTATTCAGTCTATTTTGTATAGTAGAGTATATAGATTCTATACTCTGGGTTATATTTTTTGGAGTGACAATTTAAGCAAAGGTTACTTGTAAATGAAACAACAAACAAATTGATAAATGTTTAGTTAAATTTTACTATTCCCAATGTTTTTTATTGTTGCAACACATTTACATTTATTTGCATAATTTATTCACAAGTTTCATGACCTACTTTATTCTGTTCCCATTTTGGGTTCTGGTATTTACCAAGACTATTCCCAATGGTTCGGAACTGCACTTGGCAGTTGTGCTGCTGGAAAGTTTTAGGAACACTGTGACTCGAATAGGTTAGCTGTTAGCAGTGGCTTTAAAACCACTAACCAGTTGTTTAAAGGCTCTAAAACCAGCAGCTCTTGAGGTTTTCCTTTCTACGGCTTCAGTTGACTGCACGCTTGCAGATAATGCAGTTCGAGTGCTCCACTTGTTGGGCATATCGTCTGGGCCATTTGGGGCATTTAAGCATTGGTTTTAGATCGCATTCCCTCTGTGGCCTCTCGACTGCAAGCAGCTCCACTGATCCATTTAATTGATCACTTCCTTTTGTTTCTAGAAATCAAATAAAAACACACAATGGCCAGCGAGGACACGAGCTTTATTCCCGATCTTCCCATCGGCGGACCATTGGCCGTTTATCGAAAGAGGGCTAACTTTGACTGGAAACGACTGCGCTTGATATTCGAAAAGGAGCAGGGATTGCGTATTAAGGTAAGTGGATCAGTGTATCTTATCTCTCTTTATTTGATGAATGCTGAAATATATTTTTGAGAGGTTGCATAAGGCTTTCTATAGTTAGTAAAGTCAATTGATATCATTAACCAAGAATGAATCAAGAACCGTTAAAAAGCAATTTCAGGCACTCAAAATACGCTAGAAAACAAAATAAAGTGCCGTGAGGTGTAATAATTTTTGTGCTTAGATTAGATTAGTTATAAGTTCGAAATGCAGTAACTAAAAAATATTAGGCAAGTAAAGCTTTAAATGCTTTCTGTATATTGTAGGCAAAACTCATTAATACCTGTAGCCTAAACTAACGCAAGTTAACTGCTTGGTCCATTATACTTGCAATATATAAAATAAATCTTTTCAGAATTTAAATAACTAAAATATGTATTTTAAATTAAAATAGGATTGAAAAATAAAATTGTAAAGGTGCTGATATTTCTGTAGCATTCATGAAACACATTTCTTGGAGAACCGCTGAAATACAATTTTTCTGTAAAATCGGTATAAAATAAAACCCACTCATGACCCCCTTTAACTTGCAGTACAAAGTGTGGCGCCGCTTGGAGAATGATCCCCTCTTCGCCCACCCCTCCCGCACTTTGCCCATGGACGAGCAGAAGCGTTTGTGCGCCATGCAGGTGAATCGCATGAAGCACTTGGACCTGGTGCCCAAGGAGATCGAGCAACTGAGCTTCTCGGCCAAGACCAAGTACTTGATGTACATTAACGAGGCACTGGCCTGCTATTCGCCCAGTTTATCGGTGAAGATCGCCCTGGGAGTTGGACTGTTCAACAATGCCATCCGTGCAATGGGCACCGAAAAGCACACGAAATATATCGAGGCTGCCTGGAATCGGGAAGTGATCACCTGTCTGGCCATCACGGAATTATCACATGGCAGCAATACGAAGAGCATCCGGACAACGGCCACCTATGATCCGAGTACCCAGGAGTTTGTGATCAATACGCCGGACTTTGAGGCGGCCAAATGCTGGGTGGGAAATCTGGGGAAAACTGCCACAGTGGCCATGACTTTCGCCAATCTCTATACCGCTGATGGTCAAAACCATGGTCTTCATGGCTTCCTGATTCCCATTCGTGATCCCAAGACACTGCTCTCGTATCCCGGTGTTTTGGTGGGCGACATTGGTGAGAAGTGTGGCCTAAATGGCATTGACAATGGCTTCGTGGTCTTTACCAACTATCGCATTCCACGCGACAATCTGCTCAATCGCACCAGTGACGTAACGCCGGAGGGGGCTTACGAGAGTGTGTTCACCGAGCCGGGAAAGGTCCTTGGAGCGGCACTCGAAAGCTTCTCCGCCGGCAGGATTGGCATAATGCAGGAGTCGGCTAATACCCTTTGCAGTGCAGCCGTTATCGCAGTTCGCTACGCGGCAGTTCGCAAGCAATTTGGCCCGGAACGACAAGGCGAGGAGATGGCCATCCTGGAGTACCAACTGCATGTGAGTAAAGTCTGCTAAAATGGACTTAAATTATAATTTTTGAATTAAAAAAAAAATATATAGAAAAATGAACAAGCTTGATGACTGAATTTCATTATTACAAGCATTTATAAACATTATTTGCAATATACACACATCTATGGTAAAATTAAAAACAACTTGAAACTAATTTTCATAGAATAATCAAAGATTAAAGGTTTAATTTGCAGTTTAAAAATATCAGTTGCATTTTACACTCCATATCAGTTAGAGTACCAAGCCTCAATTTAAATGTTTAAACATTTGTATGTAGCATACATTTTTCATTACAAAACATAGTAGTAATTAAGATCAGTAAATAATTGGTAGGTCTAGTTTTTTTTTGTTTGAAGCAAGACCTTGTTACATGAACGTCGTGCTGAATTATAAAATATATTGATGTCTATTGAATACTAATTTGTATTTATTTCCTCCCCAGCAATATCGCATATTTCCCTATTTGGCGGCTGCTTGTGTCCAGAAAATCGCCACCGAAGAGCTGACAATCACGTATATGGAGATCATAGCCCGATCCCAGGCGGATTCCAATGGCTTTGATATTTTGGTGGGTTGTTTTAGTACCTTTTGTAATATAAAATCTAATGTAAACTATTTTGTAGACCCAAAACGCCGCGGAGATCCATGCCTTGATCTCCTCGTCAAAGCCTTTGATCACCTGGGCAGCTCGGGATGCTATTCAGGAAGCACGTGAGGCCTGCGGAGGACATGGCTACCTGGCAGCAGCAAAACTTGGCCAGATGCGCACCGATCACGATCCCCTGTGCACCTACGAAGGTGACAACAATGTCCTGGGACAACAGGCCTCCAATTGGCTACTGCGCCAGTGGAGTGCAAAGCAACTGGAGACGCCCATTGGCAGTGTGAAATTCCTGGAGCACCGCAAGGAGTTGCTGGCCCTCAATTACGCATCCTTGGTGCAGAAGACTTCTATGTCCAGCTGGCAGTGTGAGTTAACCCCATTCCATTAAATCCTATTTCAATATATTTTTTCAGTCCTTTATTTTTTTGTTTTTAAACCATAACTTTTGAGTAAATTTTATAAAACAATATTCTAAAAACTAGAGAAACATTTACCTAACTTAAAATACTATTTATAACATATAGACAAATTAATGTTTAACAGAAAATCAAATTAGGATTACTTAAAGTTTATTACAAAAACAGGAAAAAGGATTTTATGGAAATGGATAAAACATGATCATTTTTCAAAAATCCTATTTATTTTTTTATCACAAGAATTTTTTTTGATTTAAGGGGTATTACAACAAGTTACATATCATTTAGTAAAAATTTGAAAGAATTTGGAGAATATCTTGTATATATGGCAATTGTTTTTATAGTTGTTTCTTTTTATTGAATTTATTTGACTAAAGAAATATTTTCCTTGCAGTTTCCTTGAGGTGCTACGAGTGGCTGCTTTGCCATTTGATGGCCCGAACCACAACTCACATCGAGGGTCAGTTGGCAGCGGGATGCAGTCGATTTGAAGCCAGGAACAACTCCCAAGTGGCCGGAGCTCGGGAATTATCCTTGGCCTATGCCGAGTACTATGCTCTTACGCGATATGTTAATCATGTCAGCAAACTGACAGTGGAGGCCCCATATGCCTCCATTCTCCGCCTGCTGTTCGATGTCTATGCCATGTGGTTGCTGGAGAAGCACATGACCACCTTTTATGTGGGTGGCTTTGCAGCTGGACGAGATTTCTCGGCTGCAGTGCGTCAGCTGCTGCTGGATAGTTGCCTGCAACTAAAAGATGTGGCTGTGAGCATAGCAGATGCCATTTCGCCACCCGATTTTGCCCTGAATTCGGTGATCGCCCGGGCAGATGGTCTGCTCTACGAGAATTTGCAAAACGAATTTATGACCAATGAAGGTGCGTTCCAGCGACCTTCCTGGTGGCGTGACGTCATCATACCGCAGGCTCAGTCGAAACTCTGAGCAATCCCCACCGAGTTTTCCAGGAGACGAGGATGAAGACAAGTGCCTGACTAGGAAATTTGAGCATTTGGCTCGCGCTAAGCAAATCAAGATGTTTTGAAGTTATTGTTGCCTCATTTGAAATCAGGTATTATGGCAAACCACATTCGCATCGATCCTAGTAAAACGTTTTATATCATATATGTACCAACTATAACATACATTCGAGTATTTTAAGATCAAATCTGTTACTAGTTTATGTTTAAACGAGTTAAATAAAATATATAAAAATGTGTTAAAAAACTTTAAATCTGGCAGTTATTTAAACGAAAACATTTTCAACATTATTTTATATAATAAATTGTAAACAACACAATGCAATTTTATTTTCTTAAAAATCCCAGAAGCCGAAAAAAATAAAAATCATTAAAAATTGGTTTAGGTTGTTAACTTTTTTTATATGAGGAATCCTATTCCATCTTGCTCCAATAGAAATTAATAGGATTTAGTTTTAAAATATAATGAATAAAAAAATAAAAATAATAGCAGATTAAACAATTTTACAAGCAAAAGGTATTTTCGGATCAAGATACGGAGATTAACATAAAAATTTAGACCTGAATTCTTGGCCAAGTATTTAAGAATGATTTTAGGCATAAATGGTAATACCACCACAACCAACCCTTTTGTAAAAGCTTTTATCAAAAGTAACGCTTTCCATAAAAAATAAGAAACAGAAACAACAATTTTTATTATAATTATTCAGTCAGCGAGCCTCCCTTTTACATTAAATCCCCGAGGCGAGTGATTCGGTAAGCGGTTTCGGTTTTGGTTTCGGTTTCGACTCTCTAGTCGGTGTCATCTCAGTCGTCGTCATCGCCACAATGTCGGATCCGCAGGTGTCGGATCGTTTATAAGAGGACCTGGACCCACCTGTTCCGAGTCAGACGTTGCCCAGTTCTCGACCAGTGAAGAAGATCGCGAGAGAGAATACCAGAAAGTCAGAACGAAAAACCGAAACTGGTCAAGAACCGAATCATAAACAAATCAAGTGAGTCGTGCTCGCAGTGTTTCAGTTTCTGTATCTCTATCTGTGAACCGAGTGAGAACTCTTTGAAGTACTCTATCTATATGACAAGAGTAGCCTCTCCCTATAACATTGATAGTTTTGCCAATTTGTTGCGCAGTTTTGGTTCCGTATTTGGGAGTGTATGTGGTGCGGCACTAAGTGTTCAATGTTAGTCTGTCTTATCGCCGTGATTTAAATGATGTTGTATGGGAGAGCTCGAAAACAGTGATCGGTGATCATCAAAGTCAGGGCAAAATAAAAAACAAAACGCGTCGTTCATCGGTAGTGCTTCTCAGTCGAGTTCCTTTGTTTCAACAGATCCGCGCAAAAAATTGTTAATTATTAATATTTTATATATAAAAAAAGGAAAATAACTAATCATCTTCAGACCGGTTGCTTAGCTCAAAAGTCAGTCAATTAGAACACCTCAATTGTTGAAAACACAAAAAATTCCCTCTCCTAATGGCAACTTGAAAAACTTCTGTAAAAAAATAACAAAAAAGCGTTAACAAATTGGAATATAAATGGCGCACCAAAAATATATACAGATGGCAAATCCAAACAAAATAAAAAATCTGAAACACAAAACATTCAATATCAATTTCTAAACTCTGAACAAATTAGTGAGAACCGGTTTGTTCTTCTCTTTTTTCTCTTGGCAGCCGAACAATCGAATTGAGTCAATAATAATATACAGAGTCATATGGGGATCCATTAATTTACATTTTGGGGTTTTCTGTTTTCGATTTGGTAGGCCAGACCGAACCCCACCCCGCCGTCCCCCGTGATTTCTTTTCGCCAATTCATTATTGAAAAATCGTGTAAGGGCAATTAGTTGTGGGGCTGGGCCAGTAAAATGAATATGAAATGCTTGTAATTGCTGGCTATGGGGTATAAAAACATCGTGGCTAGTTAGGCGGGGGTGCAGTGCGAAGCCAATGACCCTGTGAAAGGCATCCATCCAAGAATCGATTACCGGGAGTGCATCCCCCATGCATTTGCACCCCGCACAGATTACCGGCTTATGCAAGCGGATTTATGGATTCTGGCCTGGGGTCGCCTAATGACAATGGGTGCGAAAGTATCGGGAAACAATGGGCCCAGTCATTAGCAGATGCTACTGGGCAAACTTCAGATCTGATCTTACATAAGAATAAGTCATCTTGCGATCCATATATATACGCGAGTAAATCCATTTCCGCTTTGGTCTTAAAAAACACAAATTGAATAGGGTCTAAACCATGCATCGCTGGGCTCGAACAAGTTCCATTTACACTAATTTCAGAACCAGTTTTTAATGATTTCTTTGTTTTATTTATTTTACACCCCCAGCTCAAAAATACAAGCGAATTTCGCATACGCAGATGCCTGTCAAATAAAATGTGGAAGTTTCTGCTTATTTGTGTGGTGATGAGTGCTCTGAATCAAGAATCTTCGGGGGGTAAGTAAACTCATAAATAAATAAATTCCCGATTTATAAAAATCATGTTTTCCCTGAAGTTTGTTTTGTTTGTAATAACAAGTATACGAAGGCTTCAATAGAGCACCAATCTTATTTTTAAATATTTTTTAAAGTTGTGATCAAATTGTATACTTTAAGACCCTCATCTTCTTAGTAAGCTTTAAGTAGCTTATAAAATACCAAATTAATGGCTTATACCTTTAGACCTTTTTTTAACGATCACTAGTCACTTATAGTGACTAGGTTTTAGTTGCATAAGTAAATTCATAATTCTTAAAAAATGAACTGCAAAATTCATTAAATAAAAATGTTTTATTAGGAATATTAAATATATTTCTAGAGCAAAATATAAATTAAGACTACCTCAAGCGTTCAAGCGTTTTTAATCGTTATCTTATATAAATAAAATTACCGAATGATTAGTTTTTTTAAAGGGAGAAAACCAAAGTATTTTTTATTTTAATTTTCATTACTCTTTAAAATTAATTGGGCAAGAAAAATATATGTTTGCTATTGCCGGAACTTAACAAAAATGTAGTTTTAAAGGGAATACTATATCTTTTATTATTCTAAATTTTTTTTTAAAAGTAAAACCAATATTTATGATGATGTTTCTAATTCAGCTAACAGCGGACCTTCCCGTAGGAGACGCGCCTACGCCGGAGGATATGCGGGGGGATATGCCAGCAGTGGAGGAGGAGGCGGAGGCTATTCGGGATCCTACAACAGCGGCGGTGGAGGCTATGGACACAGCAGCTATGTGGGTACTGGTGGTGGTGGAGGTGGTGGCTACTACGATTACGATGACTACGATGGAAACTCGCCCAACTTTGGCATCATCGATCCGTATCTTTTCCACCAGCAGCTGACGAATCACATTCTGGCCCAGAACTACGCCAACCAACAGTAAGCATCGATCTTCTCCAGGGGATTTTTGGGCTGGGGTTGTTTGGTAGTCTTACGGCGGGCTAAGGGTTAACCTAACGCTTGAATCTATCTATTCTTGTAGAGCTATAACGGGTCTGGCCACGGCTGGCAATGCTTTTGCATCTGCGGATGCTTCCCTAGTCAACGACAACGATGAGTAATTACCATTAGCTAGTCTTTAAATAATCCCAATACTAATCTGTGGGTTTTTTTGTCTCTGAAATGCTAATCTATATTCCTATCCCTTCGCAGTCGCATCCTGCAGCAGATTGCCGCTCAGCAGGCCTATCATGACAATTTGGTGCGTCAGAATCGGTACAGGGGAGGATCAGGATCCGCATCCGGATCCTCATCTGGATCTGGATCTGGTGGTGTATCTTCCTATAACTCACATCGCTATGCACCCAGCTATGCCGCCGCCTCGGGATCCATCGGACCCAATGGCTATCGCCAAACGGCCTTTATCAACCCAGCCAATCCGGTAAGTCATTGGATCATTAATTTAAGGAAAAATACTTTTGGGGTTTTTGGATAAGTAAAACCAGTTTATACATCATATAATTCAAGACTTATTGCCTTCAGTTAGGGCACAATTATTTTGTATTTTAAATTCACATCTGATTTGGAATTTATCTTTGCGTATCTTAAACTCAGATTAGAGACCTGAAAATTAAATTATTGCTTTATTGAAGCGAAATAATAATCTTAGCTTACTAACTAATTAACTTGGACGCAATCCTTCCAACGTTGTGAACATTATATACATTTAAAATGTTTAATATTTTCAATGGATATTGAACAGCTTGAAATTAAACTATTATTTTAGTGAAGTATAATTTTAATATTATAAAAACTTATTTTACTAATTCATGTTGAAATGGATTGACTGGATTAAACTAATCAATATTCTTTATGTGCAGGCCTCCCCCAACATTGTGAATCGTTTCGGAGGTGGAAGCGGAAGCGGCGGCGGCTCCTCATACTCCAGTTCCAGCAGCTCTGGAGGAGGAAGCGGTGGTGGTGGTGGTGGCTACAAGGGCGTCTCGGTGTCCTCCTACAGTCACAGCAACGGAGATGGAACCAGCCGACGTGGAGCCCAGACCACAGTGAACGACAACGGAAAGGTCACCTCGTACTCAGTGCACTCTTAATGAGATCGCTGGCGACTTTCTGGTGGCTAGACCAACATTTACTCCGGTCTGACAAAAGCAAACCGATCCCATTTAATTTGTATAAAAAAATATATATATATAAATATACGTGTATTTTATTGTATATTCTTATCGGTGGCGTTTCTAAAGCGGCGCTTTCTTTAATTAGAAAGTTTCCCTCTCTTTTACTCGCATAGACAATAAAAATATGTAAATTTTATATATTTGTTTATTGCCCTTGATTTCAACGTTGTTGCTGGAATAGCATACAATTTTTGCAAAATTTTAAATATATAAATAAATTGAGTAATTAAATACGTTTATTTGAATGTCACTATAAAAGATTATTTTTATTTCAATGTTTTCGTTTTTCATTGGATGAATGACCGTATCAAAGGTGACAGGAAGTGATCTATCTCAAGTTGAAAATCTCGACACATTTAATTCAATATAAAATGGCAAACTTCAAGATCGAATTTCTTATTCGAGGTTGACTGGAACGCGAGCCAAGATCTGGAATTTAATAAATATTTTACACATATTTAAAACGTGAAATTTATCTTGAAACTGAAGGAAGGAGAATTTATTTACCAGATAATCAAGAATTTTTTATTTAAGTTGCATAATCACCTTGAAGCTATTTTATTTTCTATTAAATAATGCCAGGAAAATATTACATACTAAAAACATCAAAAAATGTTGTTTATTTTTGAAAAATTTAAAAATAAATTTAAAAAAATCTTTAAACGATAATTGTTATAGGTATTTAAAACTTAATATAAGTATAGGTGTATTTCCATGTAGTAAAAAGTAATACCTATAATCAAAATTGTTTTCAATTGATTTAAAATATTATTTTGATTATTGATGTAAGTCTCCCGATCATAATAACCAGATCGTTATCTCTTCGAGCCTCAATTAAATTCATAAGGCGCAATATTGTTTACAACATTCATGAGACGACTCTTTTTTTATAACTAGCTATTTGGAAAGGGAAATTAATACTTCCTGAATACGAATTAGAGCTCAAGGTTTTTCATATATTCCTTCACCTTGGTCACAATTCTTCTAAGTTCAAAGTGAGCTCATTATAAACATATACGTATGTACAAACAACCGCTGAAGAGATAATGCTCATAGTCGTACATGGCAACTATATAGCAGGTACATATTTCTTGACCAAGGTTCCGACGATTATCAAAAATGAATTTTAAAAAATATTCTATATGGGGCGATGATGTCGCAATTAACTTTCATCACTCGGCTTTCTGCACCAATTGTCGAGCTCCAATTTTAATTGTATATACATATGTAAGCTTTATCAGTTCCGCAGCCCAGAGTCCCATCCTCTCTAGGTCAAGAATCAATCGGTTCAAGTCTGAGTTATATGTGAGTCTTATCAACTTTTCACCGATTCCTGAGGCTTTAAAGCGCGGATCCGCTTGCCCGATTGCATTAGTAGAATTTCAACCGCGAGTGTCGAACGTTTTTCCGGAGGAAAATAAGAACAAATTACCACAATGAATAAATTGCTGATTTTGGCCCTTTGTCTGGGTGTGGTCTGTGGAGGTAGTGAAATATTTCTAAAATTAAATATTCTTTAAAATTACAAATAAAAAGTAAAGTGCGTACATATGTTCAGATCCTGTTTTTTGGGCTGCTTATCAGCTCCGGTGAATCTCAGTAATCTTAGTGTCGTCAGCAGCATTGTTGGTTTTTCCCTGAATGAAATATTTACACAACATCTTGGGAAAATTGTGTAATTTACTAAAAATGTGGCGCGTGTGGCGATAAGAGATTGTAAATCTTTCCAAAGGGTATCATTTTCCCTTGAAAAATACAAAAGTTAGAATGTATATTTTCAACTAAACCATTGGAATCGAGTTATATAAAATAGGAAATTATGCGTGGATTGTGAATTATATTTGATGTTTATATTTTCGAATTGGAAGTTCAGTTAACTGAAATGACAAATATTTATTTCAAATTTTTAATTGTATATAATGTGAATAAACTTTAAATTTTATTTCGAAAATTACCCCTTTAACAACATTTATATTTTCGCACAGTAAATTTTGGATCATTAATTTTTATACGCACTCTATTTATAATCAAAGAAAATGTAATTAATCTTGATTTTTTTATCTTTACAGATTTCGAGGGCAGGTAAATTGGTCTAAAAACTACTTATTCGTGACTTAAAGTTATAATGTGTTTTCTATTCCATAATTTTGAAATATATTTAGAACCAAACGCGATGATTTTCAGTCTCGGTAAGTGCCGTGTGGCAAATGTTAAAGATCTTTCTTTTTTTGATTCCAAAAAAAATTGAAATTTCCCCATTGGCTAACATGACACTTTAAAATTTAAATCAAAAGTAAATCGAATGGTTAAAAAGATGTTTAGGTAGAGAACTGGGTGAAAAACTTTCTAAAATCAATCATAATAACAACAAAAAAATGTTTTGTAATTAATTTTTACAACTTATTTTCAAATGAAAACATAATCATTTTTTAAATCTATTATATAATTTTTTTTACCGTTTTGAAATTATTTACTTGCCAATAGCGTTTTAGGTTTGAAACTTTAAAAAACTTTATTTAAGTTTGTAGTTTTCTTTTTAAATAGTCTTATCATTTTTAGTGTTTTTGATTTTAGAGACTGTTTAAAGCCCCAGTTTATTTTATTTCCTCTTTTGAGTATTATTTATTAACTTTTTTGGTAAAATCTTTAGCCACAACAGTGCGCACCAGCAGGCGGTGGAGCTGGCACGCAGAAACTCTGGCTACAATGGTGGCTACAGTGGCGGCTACGGTGGTGGCTACGGAGGTGGCTACGGAGGAGCCTCTGGCCAGGCTGATGGCTCCGCCAGCTTGGGAAAACTGGACTCCTACGACTCTGTGGGTGCGACCGAATCAGCGGAAGGTGCACTCGCTGGAGGATCAGGAGGATCAGCCGTCGAGACTTTGGGTGGAGCTGGTGTAGGACTTGGTGGTGGTGCTGGTGTGGGACTTGGTGGTGGAGCTAGTGGTTCCTTCGGCGGAAGCAGTGGCTCCTCTTTTGGATCTGGTTTCGGTACCCAGAATGCTGGATCTTTTGGAACCCAGAATGCAGGATCTTTCGGAACCCAAAATGCTGGATCTTTCGGAAGCCAGAGTGCTGGCTCCTTCGGCGCTCAGAATGCTGCCTCTTTCGGCTCCCAGAACGCCGCCTCTTTCGGCTCAACCTTCTCCACCAACGCCGCCTTCCAGAGCAGCTCCGCCTCCAACCTCGCCCACCAAACGGGCAGCAATGTTGAGTTCGCCGAGAACGCCAATGCCGGCAACCTGGTCAACTTCGGTGGCTCCAGTGGCCAGCTGGGCGGAGGCCAGGCTGCTTCCGATTTCTACAGCCACGAGAAGACTGTGGTTGCCCCACAGCAGACGTACACTTACTCAGTTCCCGGCTCCTCCCAGCGGATTATTCGTACCGAGGAGCATGTGGTGGAGCAACCTCGCCAGGTGGTGGTCCAGACTCCAGTTCAGACAGCGCACTACTACCAACGAAAGGTCACCTCCACTGCCTCCGCACCGCAGGTGGTGCAGCCATCCGCCGGTTTCACCTATGGATCGAATGCCGCCTCCACTTTCGGAAACAATGCCGCCTCCACTTTCGGTAGCAATGCCGCCTACAAGTTCGGTAGCAATTCCGCCAGCACCTTCGGCAGCAACTCCGCTTTCAACAGCCAGTTCGGACAGAACTCGGCCCTCACCTCGGGAGTGAACTTCCAGAGCGGCCAACTGAACCAGCTGCTCAACCAGGCCCAACAGGGTGCCCGCCAGCAGGCCTCCTCTTATGGTGGATCCTCGGCCAACCAGGTTCAGGCCGGCAGTGGCTTCAATGCAGGCTCTCAAGCCGGCTACAACAACGCCTTCCAATCCGGCTTTGGCTTCAACTCCGCCAGCTCCTTGAACTCCGCCAGCTCCTTGAACTCCGCTAGCACCTTAAACTCCGCTAGCACCTTAAACGCCGGAAACAGTGGATCTCTGCTGAGTGGATCCCTGCTGGGCGGCAGCCAAGGATCTCTGCTCTCGGGACAGGTGGGTGGACAGCAGGGCCTGCTCAGTGGAAACCTGTTGGGAGGCCAGCAGAACTTTGGACTTGGACTCAACGCGGGTCAGCAGCTGGCCGGATCGGGCAACTTTGGCGCCGGATTCGGAGCCGGAGCGGGCAATTCCGGCAGTGGCTACCAGACCAAGCAGTGGGAGAAGCAGGCCAAGTGGTCTTCCCAGTCTGAGGTAAGTCGTTATTTATATTTTCCAGAAAAAAATAATTTATATATAATACCTAACACAGAAAACGATTATTACTTTAATGCTTTAGCAAAATATTTCTTTAGTTATTTTAAAAATTTTAGACAGTTTTAATTTAAAAGTTTTACTACTGAAATATCAAAAATCTTTTATTTAAATTGTAGGAAGTCTAACATTTTGTATTTTGTATTAAATGCTGTACTTATTTTAAAGGTTTCAACAAATATTATAATTTCTTTTTACCTGACAATGTTCTAAAAAGTACTTTGGCTCTCTTTTAATTGATACTTTCTTATTTTGGAATAATTATAAACATTTTTACTTTCTCTGTAGTTCGATTCCAACGGCAAAGTGAACAACTACAAGGATCTGGCCACCGGCGAGAGGGAAGAAGTTGACATCAACGGCAAGAAGACCGGCTACCATGCGGCCACAGCCTCCGTCGACGACAACGGCAAGTTCGGCACCCACAGTGTTCACTCGTAAACGACGACCAGGGTATGCACCCAACACTAGAAACCTTTCGTGTTCTTAGGGAGTGGACTAATCAACTCCAAATGTTTTTTGTAAAATAAAGTTAAATGAATTGTTTAAATGTCAGATTTTATGTTTTATTTCGTATTTTTGGGTTATAAAAAATTGCAAACTAAAAGGTTTTTATAATTTCCGTCGAACAGGTGCTTACCTTGCATCTTATTTTATTTGAAAAAAATATATATAATCACCCATTGTTGTAGGAAAAATAATTTTGATAATTTATGACGTTTAGTAAGGTGATCTTATCCCACTTATTACTTCGTATATTAAACATTGAAAAAGGTACTGCAAAATAAAAAACTAAAACGACTCTTTATTAAAATAAACCAATTGTGGATAGTTAAGAGCTAGGAGGAAGTGTGATCGGAGGGGAGGGCTCCTCCCTCAGGAGAAGGGTCTCTCCAGTTTTCCATCCACCACCTGGACGACGCCGCTGTTGATGACATCCTTATGGTGATCCGCCGGCTCTCTTCTGGCTTTGCTATCCCGACGACGCCTGAAATCCGCAGAGGACATGCAGTAGCAGGGCTTCCAACTGGGCCGTCGATAGATCTGGCCCTGCTCCTGCGGCACCCGCTCCGTGGTCCAAACCGGGACGTAGTGCGTCCACGTCTCACCGTTCCTGTAGATGCTGCCCGCATCGGAACCTCCGCTGGTGTAGACGTTCTCCGGATAGTATTGCGGATAGTAGTCACCGCGATTGGATCCTGATCCCTGATAGCCACCTCGATTTCCTCCTTGGTAGCCACGCTGCTCGCCGGAGAAGTTCGGATTCCACTGGGATTTGGGATCATACGGCTTTCGGGTCTTGTGCTTGGAGTCGCTACCACCACGACCCTTGTAGATGGGAACACTGGCGTCCTCTGTTTGGGAATTTAGGGATACCAAATTAAAACCAAAATATATGTTAATCACACTGATCAGCCAAGTATTATTTCCTATAAAGGTCAATTATAATTTCTAAAATGAATAATAGTTTGATAAGTTTGCACAAATTAAAATAATAATTTCTTTTGAAATTTAAAGATTCCCTTTCCTATCTGCTGTAAATATGTATATATTGTTTAAAATATATTTTAATATTGTCTTATTTTTAAATCATAATTCGTATTTAAATTAAGGCCCAAATAATATGTATTTAAATTGTAATCATTTGAGAATTTGTCTTGTAGCTTTGATTTGTTTAAAAATCGACTTTCTTTAAATTAAGTATTTTAATTTTTAGCTAATGAAAATAATTCTTCCGACATTCTTTTATATTTTGAATTTTAATTTTGAGGGGTTTTGATTGCTTTATGTCTAAGCCCTTAGTATTGACACTTCGTGACACTTTTGCCAAGACATCTTGAAGCCCTGCTCCAATTTTAATTCGCAAATCCTCGACCCATTATTTACTTTGGTGCGAAAGAGGGAAAGTGAAATCGAAAGGACCACTCACCCTTGTCGCCCTGTTGCTGAGCGGAACTGGTCTCGTTTCCATCCGGATCGGAGGTTATCTCGAACGTGATGTCCGTGTGGATGCCCACACGCTTCTTGTGCTTGCCCAAATCCGTAATTTCCACGCTCTCCTTGGACTCTTTATTTATTTTTTTTTGTGTCAATTCAGAGCGCCGTAGGGAATCGAGTTTGTTAGTTTCTTTTTTTTTTTGGTATTTTGCATTTCGGCGTGGGGGAATTTAATTACCTTTCGTTTGCTGCTGTCCATCGCCGGTATCGACGGTGACCCGAACTCCATGGATCTTGGGTCGATTTCCCCCGCTGGTTGTTCCACTGCCGCCCCCTCCGGAATTACCAGAGCCCCCGCCTCCACTTAAACTTCGTCCTGTTCCCGGGTCGTAGCTCCCGTTCATCCCAGTTCCGCCCACCTGTCCTGGCTGCCCGGGTAATCCGGTCTGATTGTTGCTGCCATCGCTCTCATCGAAATCCAACTTGGAGGACACTTTACTCGCCTGACCTGGTTGCCAACGCCATCATCGTTGTTTGTTTTCGGTTTAGCATGGAAATTAGATTTAACAGAAATTTAATTAAAGTTATGCAAACACTATGGACTTCCCCCCATCCCCCAATCTTCTCCAGCCCGGACTTTAATCGGAGGAATTGGAGCGTGTGTCAGTAGTCCACGGGTCCATATAAGTGGATGCAATTAGCACACGCTGACTTATTTATGGATATGCACCGCTCGTCGAGTCGCCGATTCAACCAACTGAACTAATCTGGAACTTGAGCTGCTGCTGACCGATTTGAGGTTGCACTTGAATATGCACGGCCACAGCCACAATTATGGGATTAGTCGCAATCAGAATCGGATTTCGCTGGGGGAGTGACTACCAATTAGGTGGGCAAAGGGTCGTCCTTCGATGAGCCAAGGACTTTGCCTTCCAGAGATTCGAGTGCTTGTAATCACTGCGGCTTGTTCAGTTAATTCCGCGGCAATCCCATCATTATTTCGTTTACTTTTGGGGTGAAATTTTTAGTTTTAATTCAAAACGATAAGCTCTTGGATTTTCAAAGGGAATTAGTTGGGCTTTAGTTTTAATTAGTTCGTTGTTGACAACTTGAGAGTAAGCCGAAGTATTGTTATCTAAAGCTTTTTAATCATAATTCATTGCAGTTTTATTTGTATACTAAGAATGTATAGAATAGCTTCAAAAGTAAAAAAAAAAGTGTATAAAACACAGCTATTTGTAAGTAATGTCTTTTATGATTTGAAAGTTAACTTAAAATGTTCTGTGATTAATTTGGAATTTTGGATTGCCAAAATAAAACAATGATGCCTTTCGCCTACAAAATCATCACCGTCAATCAGATTAGATCGTATAGTAGTTCCCCCATTACTGGAATTTCCCTGGGATTGAGTGGCACGAAGCCACATCTATTCCCGAAAAATCCAGCTGACTCATGGAGGAACTTATTCCGCCCGTCGCGTGATTGATTGTCGACCAATTACTCTGAACAACCTTGGACACAGTGATGAGTTAGCAGCAGGCCACCAAATAACAACAAAAGGTGGGCGGTGAAAGAGCTCGTTGTTGACAGCATTTTGCCGTGGAGAACAATAAAAGAAGCTGGTGCTCTAATGGGTATTTCCTTAGGAGTTTCTCAAACAGATCTCGAGAATGGAGCGCGTCTCGTGTGCGCACTTGAAAACCGCCGACTAACAACTAAGCCAGGCAAAACGACCAAGCTGATTTCGAATATCTACGGAGATTCATTAAAATTAACTGGCCAAGCTGGAGAGCAAAAAAAAGTTGCTTTTGTTTTTAAGTCTACTTAAGTTTTAGTTACTGTTGATGTTTTTGCACAGTGAAAAAATTTACAACGAATTTTTAATTAATTTTATATTATCTCTTTTTAATAATGATTGATGGAGTTTTTTGTTAAACAAAAAACTGTTTATTCTGGTTTGAAGATCCTAATGAAATCGCAATAAGTTTAATGTATAACAATAAACATCAATTTATTATTTTGAACATCTTAAAGATGTTACCTAATATTCCTGCATTATATATAGAATATTACAAAATACTTTTTCAAGTGAGAGCTGAAGTATATTACATTTTTCAAATTTACTTCTTATGCATTGTGGCAAAAATAAGTTTTCGTCCGTTAGTTTTTTGGGACACTTTTTAAGTATATGGCAAAGGAAATTTTAATATTAATTTAAAGAAATATCCCAATTCTATTTCAGAAAGAAAGCTACAATATCTTATAGGAAAATCTATATGTAACAGTTTCTTAACACACTTAAATTCACTAAAAGATATTTTAGAATTATATTTTAAAGTATAAAGTATAAGTATCTGAACAAAAAGAATTTCAGTATGTAGTTGTGGGATGAGACGCTTTTTAAGTATTAAACAAAGTACACCATTTGCGTGATATTTTCTCTCAGTGTGCTTCTGTTGTTGACGGCTTGTTAGAGCTTTGCGGATAAGATCTTGACTGGGCCGAAGTGAGTTGTTGCTGTTGTTTCAGATGCATTCGTGGGTGGGGTCTGTTGCATCTGAGCGTTATGCGTAGATCAGGGCCCCGTACCCCCGATCCAGTAATTGGACCTAATCGGTTGGCTAGCATCTTTTGTGATTGTTTCGATGTAGTTTCCGTTGTATCTTGGAGATTCCATTGTATAGAGCTGGCACTTATTTTTTGTTCTCCATTCAGAGTTTTGTTTTGGGCTTTTTCATAACGCTCTCATCGTTAATCATGGGACGTCGAGCGATTCTCTATGGCCAGTTGGCAATTATATTCTGCGGCAATTTTGACAGCCACCAAGCGATTATCATCATTAGCCCAACGAAAAACCCGCATACGAAGTTCATCTCGTCTCAAGTTCAAGTTGGCTATGAAAATAAATTGCGTTTTATTCGAAGGTTTATCGAGTGATTTTTTTGGGGGCTTTCTTATTCGTTGGGTAATCTTGGGCTGCATTGTTTTTCCTCCCCTAAGCTCGGTGGTGGTGCACTAATGAAGCACTTTCTCATTTGTCAAGCAACGCCCCCGAATCAACCACTTCCTCGAGAAGGGGAAATTGCATTAGATGGATCTAGATCTCCCCATAACCGCACATGTTGGAATAATAATGTCGGGCCAAACAAATGTATAAGCCATAAATTCCACAACCCCCATCATCGTACAGTAGTAGTCGTGGTCCAGTGGCAATTAATTAGCAATTGCATTTGGCGCTGTCGTTACGTGTGATAATTAAAAGGACTCCCCCGGTATTCTGGCAATAAGAAAACGAAAGAAATCCTGCAAATGTATGGCCATAAATTGTATGGCCTTTTGGGCCGGCCAACAGATCCTGGCCCGTCTGCAAATGCACTTTAATCTCGAATTTATCAAGCGTAATAGTTTTGCCCCTTCCTGCGGTTGGGTCGCTCTAGAAGGCTTTTGTAATCTCAGGGATAAGACGGGCATACATGTGGACACGTGGGGAAAGGCACATATCAACTGAAAGTGGGTGTTTTTGGACAGTGGGTTGGCCCGAAACCATTAAACAGATGGATTTCGTTGTCAACCTTTTTATTACAAGGTATGAGTGGTCCAGAAACTCGAAATGATCAGGGGTATAGTGCATTCGAAGACAATGCTTCCGAACTCACAATTTATTAATCCTACCACGTTTTGCACTGTCCGTTCTATAAATCAACAAATTTATTAATTAAAACTCAATAATAATTAAAGAATGAACATTAAATTCCTAGCCGCAATCTGGGCTTAAAATTATATTGTTAGTTGCTTGCAACACAGAAATATATGGATGTTTAAATCTGATTTGTAATATTTTGAAAACCTTAAAAAGCAATTCATCTATTAAGATTTTTACACAGTTTCAACTACAATATTACAAATGTAAAATATTTTAATATCACTATTCCAGTTCCTGTTTATTTTCTAATATATTTTCTAATAATATGGTAAAGTTGTTTTTAAGGGCCACCAAAGAAAGGTAACTATAAGGTATCGAGTCGCCTTAATTTATTTTTCCTCAGCACTCTGACTAGTTTAATACAGTGCTTGTTGACTCCATCTCGGTGGGTCCAATCCGAGCCAGAATCAGATCCCCATTTGGACTCTGGTTTCGACCGCTTCTGACTGACAGCTTCTTGCCAATTCTGCTGCTGTTGATGTTGCTGCTGCGGTGCGTTGTTGTGTGGTGGCCGGCGATTTGCATAAAGTTTTGCATTTGCTTACATCAACTTAATTCTCATTGTTTCTATGCATTTGTGCTGAACTGGACGGACGGAGGAGAAGTTCAAGTGCGTTTCCAGCGAGTTGCTTGCATAATTCTATGGGCACTTCAAGACCAGAAAAACTTTTCACTCGAAAATCTGCTGGAGAGTGGGGCTGCAAAACGCATTCGGACAAAAGGCATACTTTCGGGCTGTCCTTTGAATGGAAATTGGATTTTTGATATACTCACTTTGATAATTTTCGGGGGTATCCAAGCAGAGTTGTGTTGTGTCTGACTTGAACACAGTCGGTTCTTTGTCCATAAATGTTAATTACACAAAATATTTGTATAATGGCCGGCAGAAGGCCGAGCAGTCACCTATCTAACAGATGCAGATACAAAGATACAACATGTTTGCCTAACCAAAGACAATTACCATTGTTTTGGGGGAGCCGACAAGGACCGGTTTTCGCAAACAATTAAACTGGCAAAATCAAAATCGAAATTTACTAATTTATGCGTCTAGCTGCCAATTGCAGTTTATACAATATTACTTCTGCCATTTCCCTTTCCATATCTTATTTTCCAGACCATGTCGGCGTGGGCCATCCTTGAACTAATGAAATAATGGGCCAGCCGAATTAAATTATGGCCGAAGCAGTCCCAAAGGATTCAGGTCCCAGGACTCGCAGGACAATAACTAAATTTGCACCCACCCGGGTACCGAAATTTTTTGATTGCATTGTTGCCGTTTGATTTGCAACCACTCGAGGAAAGGCCACCACCCATCCCATTTGAGGGCAATTCGACACCTTGCAGGAATACCACCCCACATCCCCTCATCCCCTGCGATCCCAGCGATCCACATCCACATCCGCATCCGGACTTCCGACCCTCATTGACTATTCACACTCTTGTATTTCTACATCGCTTCGTATTATTACAATTTTTTCCTCCTTTGGCTGTATATAAAATTTTTATTATTTGCTCGTTTACGGCTTTAGCATTTGCTCTTTCCCCCCTTCTGGTTTTCCCTTCCTCTGTCTGCCCGGGTTTATCGTTTCTCGTGTAGTGCGAAATTATCACAAAACGCATTGAATTTGCTTTTATTGTTCGCGGGTGTCGGCTGCCTTTGGCCGAAGTGGAAATCATTTTCCACCCCCTCTTCATCATGCTCCCACCCAAAATCCACAATATTACCCTGCACTTGGAAAAATATTTAAAAATCAGCATACCTTTTCTAAATATGTATTGGGCTCACTAGAGTTCAAACCATCCCGTTATCTAATATAAATAGGTTTTAAATATTCTTTTTGTCTTATACAAGACAGATTGCAAATAAAAGAACAGAAAGTTTGTTCTTGAAAAACTACATTTATTCCTCGCTAAAGCTGAGAAAATATTATTTTTAAGGCATTGTGAAATGTTTAAATACCAAGTTATTATTTTTAGTTTTCCTAGAAAAAACTGTTAAATTATTCCAAATATTTTTTGGTAGCTGTTTTTTAAGGGAAATGATATTCCATTCTTTTCCATACTTCTATATCCTAAGTGTAGATGCAGCGGAAGCCACAAGAGCCGGCTGCCTTTGCCTTTGCCTTCGTCTTATCATCCATGTGTCCTTTGTTGTGTCGCCACCGACATCGCCATCGCTGCTCCTGATGCTCCTGATGCTGCTGATGCGGTGGTACTCTGTCGGTGGATGGCAGCCACAGTGGTTCACTGCCAATTTTAATGCTGATCAAACTAAAACCATGAAAAACTCAAACAAAAAATATGGGATTAATTTTAAAAATATTTTCTTATTTGACTAACTTTAAATAAAATTCTAAAGTATTCGTGAAAAAAAAAATTATAAATAAACTCATGTGATCTTAGGCATCTAAGAATTTGTTTAATGGTAATCAGAAGTGTGATTTTATTAGCATTAAAAACTATTATTAATAAAATAATGTTTTATTTTTGTTTTAGTTAAGAAAGTGTGGTTCTTTAGATAGTCAGTTATAGTAGCTATTGAACTTATTTACATTTTAGATTTCTTCTGCATCGTGACCCACTGTGCATGCAACGATTTTTTATGCCCACCTACCCACATCGACGTAATCTGGCAGGTTGCTTGAGTGCAAAAAAGTTGGTTTAAGGCCCTTGAAAATGGAAATGTTCGGTGCTGTTTTGAGGGCTGTAGCTGCCGTTGTGGCTTGTTGACCGTCGGCCCACTCTGCTCTGCTCCGCTCCACCCACCCCCAAGGCCACCCCCTCCCCGACACTTAGCTGACAATGAGCAGTGACAGAGCAAGGGGGAAGGGGGGCGGCAGAATAGGGTGGCACTTTTAAGACCCTCTTGCGGTCGTACCACAAACCCCAGACCTCAGACCCCGGAAGTCTGCACGTCTGTTGCATCTGTCGCATGCCGGAACTAAGCGAAAAACTTGGGTGGGTGTATTATTTTGGGGGAGGGGGGAGGGGGTCTATCAACCCCCCGGGGAATTTGCAGTCGATAATGATGCGTACTCGCATTGGCGATTATGATGAGTTCGATAGAGCTGCAAGCGGCAGAACTACTCGACTTGACATGCATGATTTAGTGTCCCATCCACTTGGCCATCCAAACACCCAGTCCACACCCACACCCACCCCACGCCCCGTGACCTTCATCCTCTCTCGCTCCCGTTTTCATTTGGCAAATTGCAAATAAGTCAGTACAAAGTGCCCCGACCGTGTCGTGTGACAATTCTCGCAAATTATGTTTTTTTGTTGTGCTTCCCTCCAAATGGCTAGGAATCTGCAGCCAGCCTAATCCGATTACACTATGCAACATGGTTGGAAAGTAGCTTACCAATATTTTTAGCAATTTACTTGATATAAAATATTTTATAAAAATAAAGGGAGAGATACGAAGCTTAATTTGTCAATTTCAAAAAGATTCTTTCAAATAAATATTATGTTAATTTAATGTCCTAAAGTGATTATGATTTATGATTAAGTAACATTTTTAACCTTATAGATTCATAAATCGATTCTCAAAGAAAATATATATATATCTTGTGTGTTGACTAATATGATAATTTTAATAACACAAATTCAAAAATTCATTATGGATCGGTAATAATTTTACCTGAGGCTCTTCTTACTGGGGTTACTAAAGTTGTGTTGCAGAGTGTCCCTGCACCCATTTCTATTCCGATTCGCGCTGCACTTTTGGGTATCTCGCTGCCAGCATATGGCACACTTGGCTGCAGAGGATTCGAGGACCTCCAGTATTCGGGTTACAAACGGATCTGGAACCGGTCTCACACACGCCCCATAATTGGATTTCGATGACTGCAAATTGGTGATAATTTCGATTCGCTTCCGGGCAGCTTCCACAAAACGCACGTGGTTCGTGAAAATGCGACCATCTGCGCCCGATAGGGCAGACTCTTTATGTCTGGTCGTGACCGGCTAAGTGCGGATTGCACAAATGGACAAACGGATTGGCGGGGCCCAAAGTCCACAATGGCTCTTTGTGTCTGGCCAAACAGCCTCGATCACACAAACGCGGTTTATGGACCAAAGCTGACCCCCCAAAATGTGGGAGGTGGAACGCGAAAAGCAAAAGAAATCGCGCCTAGTACTTAATAAGAACTCTTATAAGTGTCTGGGAAATATAGAATATAGCATGAAGAACTTAGTAATTCTGACGACACTAATGTCCTTTGTCCTGGTTAAGCCTGTGCCACTTGCAGCGTAAAATTTCCCAAGCTTAAAATATAGAAGAGTTTCTAAAAACCAATTAATGCTTGAATTATTCTTTAATTATTTTTGCAGAAAAAGCTATTTTTGGTGTTGTGTTATTATTTATGATGTTAAAGCGAAAGCACAAATGAAATATTTTATAAATATAAGTCCCACAAAATAACCTTTCACCCAAAAAACACCCATCGCCTAAGTGAAATTCTTTGTTAGTAAGTATATAGTTTCCAAATAATAGTTTCCAATAAATAAATTGTAATGTTACATAACTAGTATCAATTAAGATCTTATATCATTTAATTGAGATTTCTTCTGGCTAAAAAAGCCTTTCTATTTAATAAGATATAAGACTTTAAAATTTTTTTCTTGCCACAAAGTATTTCTTTTCGCAGAACAAAGGCAATAAGTAGTTAAAATCCTGCATTTAGGCTTCTCCAAGGGCAGACACCAAAATAACTAACACCAAACGTTCCATCTTTAATCTTCTAAATTGAGTGATGATCTCAGCTTAATTACAGATTTACATGGCAGTTTCTCACTGGGTTTCCCTTTGTTTTCAATACTTGCACTAAAAATGGGGTTCCTCGCCTCAACCCCAATCGATAAGAATTTGGGGGCAGAGTGGGGCAGTCTGAAACACTCATTACACTGGATTGGATGGGATTGCGCCCACGGGGCGTTGCGTGTCAATTTATGCAACTCTCCTGCAATTTCCGGGGTATTAAAGCAATTTCCAACCCACCGGCCACAGCATATACACCCGTAGACAGGGCATGACTTAATGGGGAAGTCCTGCATGTGACTACTGCTCCCACAACGCCAGTTTGGGTGTGACCGAAAAGCCCTTCTGGGCATTTACTCCAATTCAGAAAGAGTGGGCGAATCGACGGCATCGAGGAGGGAATGTTTCGGTAGCTTACCGAAAATTGATATCACATTTGGATAAGGTGAGACTAGGCGGGGATGTAATTGCAGGGCGGCTGGTCGTTTTAGGGAGAATATTTGGGAATTTTCAATCCATCAATTTATTGGCAAACATCTACCTACATCCGCACTAAAATTACATTCATTTCTTTAATGCTAGTGACAATAAACAATCTTGATTCGCTTTTATTTTTAATTCGTTGTAATAATATATAATATAAGAGCAAAAGGAAAGTGTCTGTTATCATTAATTGATTTCAATGAATGTTATTTATCTTATTTAAAGGAGCAGCACAAAGATATTTTATTAAATTATTCAAATTATTACTTTTTGAAATGATTAATATATCTTGTAACATAAATGGCTTACTTATTTTACATTAAGTGCTTAATATATCACGAACTATTCTGACTTTAGGGTCCCAAAAACGTTTATGGAAAAGTAAACATTTAATGGCTTTTTTACCCTACAAATCAAAAGATTTTTTTTCTCCAACCATACTTAAACTAGGTTTGGCATCTCATTATATTCCAATTCCGTTTATAATCTTTTGAGAGGATTTAGCTTTTAAATCAAAGTTTTGGCACCCTGTTGAGAACCGTTTTTGGAAACTTCCACCCCAGTCATTATAGAGACAAGTCCCAAATCTTCCGGCGCAATAAAAAATACTCTTCGAGAAATACGTATAAAATGTCAAAACGTTTTAACAGCATTTTGAATCCGGTAGCATCACAATAAAATGGAAAATTCGCAGCAAGTAAATGCAATTTAGTCAAACGGGGGAGGGTCGTCAAGTCAGGCTGCACCCAGGGGGACTGTTTGATTTACCGTCAACAGGAGATTGAAAAAAGAAATTCTGAAATAGAATCAAGCGGGCCAAAGTAAAAAAAAAACACGCGCCACCAAAAAGTGAATTAAGAACTTGTGTGCTGGAACGATGCGAGGCCAACTCAACGAGGGGTGATTTTCAGATGGGGTGTGGTTTGGCTTGGGGGGGCAAATTGAGTTGCAACACTTGGCAGGTTTTTATCTACGCACCACAATCAACCAGCCAACCAGCCAAACGGCCAACGAGTCGAGGTGGGGGTCCCAGACCCTGTCAGCAGGTCACAGACCATCCAAACCACCATCCCATTCCAGAATACACTCGAAGAATTGCAATACCAATCTTTTGGGAATAACTAATCATACCAAAGCGATTAAGGTTTTAGGCATTTCAAATAATTTATAAAAGGTAATTGGTAAAAAACCTTGACCACATTTTCCGATCACATTTAGGACCGAAATGGTATACCAGTGATTTTTTAAGACATGAAATGTTTGTAATGTTTCGGAATTTAAGTTAGTTGATGAAATACATTTTTTTAATTAACAATTTTTTCTACAGAAGTTCGAACCCATTTAAAAAACTAATGAAAAATATTTGTTTTAATATTGTCAATCAAAATGTATATAAACTTTATTTTAGTAAAAAATTAACCAATATCGCAGATGATTCTCTTAAAAGTAGTACAAATTTGTTTAGAATTTCTCACCGTGTAGGCCAATTCGGATGAATTAAGGCAGTTAAATGTGCTGAGTGTAGGCGGAGTGACCAAAAGCCTAGCCAGAAACCGAAGAGAAGCAACTGTTTCGTGTTGGTGCCCGTTGATAACAAGATTTGTTTTTGAAAATTTCTGGAGGGTCGTCCTTAATTACGCCGAAAAGCGCAATGAGCAATTTGGAAATGGCAAGTGAGCAGGATGGCAGAGGTCTGAAAACCACATCCACCCCAAGCAATTTAGGTAAATTAAATTTAGAGTGAGCCCATCCTTCGATTTTTCAACAGAGCAGCGTGGAGTAGCGCTCAAAAGTCAAAAGTGTATGGCCCGTCCGGTTGATTTAAGCCAGAGATAAGGGAATTCGGAGGAGAGACCCAGACAGGACATCGAGTGGGGGGAGGAGTGGTTCCACCCTCTCCCGAACACGCATCCTTAGACAAATACTGCTATCCAGACACTCGACAACTCGCTACACGGATATTCCATTAAAAAACCCAGAGCGAATTGAACAATTTTCGCTTTATGATTTATTGTAATGAGCTTTTTATTTATGGCACGACTTCTTCTATTGGCCAGAAACAGAGAACATCTAAATTTATATTGCAGTGTCTGCTTTTGTCTGTCTTTCCCCGGCCGTTTTTTCTGCGTTTTCGAAAATTAAAAATTAATTAGGCATTTATCACTTGACTGTCTAACAGATGGCGGCTTTCCAGGGGTTTGAGGTGGTAGGTATTTGTCACAAGTACGGGGTAAGTGCATCTGAACAAGACAATTCCTTTAGGCAAAAAGCCCAACACGGAAATATAGTTAAGGTGGAAATATTTACATGAAGGTTTAGGGATTAAGTTTGGAGCTTGGGGCAGAATTCAGAACATGACTTTAAGCTTTGGAGAGGATTTAACATTTCCATGAGTAATTGTCATTCAGCACATATATTTTTTGCTATTTTGTTTTTATTGGGGAATTTCTTTACCTTCTAAACAATTTAATCCAATAGAAATACATTTTTTAAACTATATATTTGAGAATAAAAAACAGATAACTAAACAATTTAATCCAATACAAATACATTTTTTAAACTTTATATTTGAGAATAAAAAACAGATAATTAAGTCAAGACAATTGTCAAGAAATCAAAATATACAGCTTTTGAATTCAAGATTTTTAGAACTTTTTATCTAGACAAATTAATGCAAAATTTTGATTTTACTTATCTTCGAATTGAAGGTTCACAACTTTAATTTAGTAGCTTTAACTCTGTCACGAATGTTCGTTAACTGAACCAGTTAATTGGAGAATTGCGAACTGGAAAGCGGAAATCTCATAAATCTCTGGGCACTGGAGCTTCGCATTTGGGGAAGACGCTGCTCTCGTAGGTGGGCACCATGTACTTGATGTTGATGAAGGCATTGGGACCTCCGCAATACTCCAGCAACTTTAGGGTGTCCTCGATGACGTCACCGATGCGGCAGTTGCGATCGGGATCGATTCCCTCGCCCAGATTCACATTGATGTTCTTGTAAAGGTTGCAAACGGCCAGCAATTGGCGGTAGAAGGGCACAAGGGCCTGACCAACACAAGGACCTGAAAATTTAATTCAAATATTGAGTTATATTTTAACCACATCATTTCTTAAACAAGATGGGCAGAAATGCAAAGTATCTTAATGACTTGTAAAAAAGGTGACTCACAATTGGACTTCAAGAGTCCATAACTTTACCAAATTTAAACCGATTTCAAAGTGGCATACCTCTAAAGACTTGTGATTTGATTCTCAAAAAATCTGCATTCAAATTTTTCATTTTAACGTTGATCAAATTTTTGACCCATTTTCATGTCAGTTATTTCCAAGTTTCCGAAGGCATGTAAAAAAGGTGACTCCCAATTGGACTTCCAGAGTCCATAACTTTGCCAAATTTAAACCGATTTCAAAGTGGTATACCTCTAAAGACTTCTGATTTGATTCTCAAAAAATCTGCATTCAAATTTTTCATTTTAACGTTGATCAAATTTTTGACCCATTTTCATGTCAGTTATTTCCAAGTTTCCGAAGACTTGTAAAAAGGTGACTCCCAATTGGACTTCAAGAGTCCATAACTTTGCCAAATTTAAACCGATTTCAAAGTGGCATACCTCTAAAGACTTGTGATTTGATTCTCAAAAAATCTGCATTCAAATTTTTCATTTTAACGTTGATCAAATTTTTGACCCATTTTCATGTCAGTTATTTCCAAGTTTCCGAAGGCATGTAAAAAAGGTGACTCCCAATTGGACTTCCAGAGTCCATAACTTTGCCAAATTTAAACCGATTTCAAAGTGGTATACCTCTAAAGACTTCTGATTTGATTCTCAAAAAATCTGCATTCAAATTTTTCATTTTAACGTTGATCAAATTTTTGACCCATTTTCATGTCAGTTATTTCCAAGTTTCCGAAGGCTTGTAAAAAAGGTGACTCCCAATTGGACTTCAAGAGTCCATAACTTTGCCAAATTTAAACCGATTTCAAAGTGGCATACCTCTAAAGATTTGTGGTCAAATTCTCTGAAAATCTGGATTCAAAATTTTCAATTTAACGTTGATCAAATTTTTGACCCATTTTCATGTCAGTTATTTCCAAGTTTCCGATAACTTGTAAAAAAGGTGACTCCCAATTGGACTTCCAGAGTCCATAACTTTGACAAATTTAAACCGATTTCTAAGTGGCATACCTCTAAGGACTTGTGATTTGATTCTCAAAGAATCTGCATTCAAATTTTTCATTTTAACGTTGATTAAATTTTTGACCCATTTTCATGTCAGTTATTTCCAAGTTTCCGATAACTTGTAAAAAATGTGACTCACAATTGGACTTCCAGAGTCCATAACTTTTCCAAATTTAAACCGATTTCAAAGTGGCATACCTCTAAAGACTTGTGTTTCGATTCTCAAAAAATCTGCATTCAAATTTTTCATTTTAACGTTGATCAAATTTTTGACCCATTTTCATGTCAGTTATTTCCAAGTTTCCGAAGGCTTGTAAAAAAGGTGACTCCCAATTGGACTTCCAGAGTCCATAACTTTTCCAAATTTAAACCGATTTCAAAGTGGCATACCTCTAAAGACTTGTGTTTCGATTCTCAAAAAATCTGCATTCAAATTTTTCATTTTAACGTTGATCAAATTTTTGACCCATTTTCATGTCAGTTATTTCCAGTTTTCGAAGACTTGTAAAAAATGTGACTCCCAATTGGACTTCAAGAGTCCATAACTTTGCCAAATTTAAACCGATTTCAAAGTGGCATACCTCTAAAGACTTCTGATTTGATTCTCAAAAAATCTGCATTCAAATTTTTCATTTTAACGTTGATCAAATTTTTGACCCATTTTCATGTCAGTTATTTCCAAGTTTCCGATAACTTGTAAAAAATGTGACTCCCAATTGGACTTCCAGAGTCCATAACTTTGCCAAATTTAAACCGATTTCAAAGTGGCATACCTCTAAAGATTTGTGATCCAATTCTCTGAAAATCTGCATTCAAAATTTTCAATTTAACGTTGATCAAATTTTTGACCCATTTTCATGTCAGTTATTTCCAAGTTTCCGAAGGCTTGTAAAAAAGGTGACTCACAATTGGACTTCCAGAGTCCATAACTTTTCCAAATTTAAACCGATTTCAAAGTGGCATACCTCTAAAGACTTGTGTTTCGATTCTCAAAAAATCTGCATTCAAATTTTTGACCCATTTTCATGTCAGTTATTTCCAAGTTTCCGAGACTTGTAAAAAAAGTGACTCCCAATTGGACTTCAGGAGTCCATAACTTTGCCAAATTTAAACCGATTTCAAAGTGGCATACATCTAAAGACTTGTGATTTGATTCTCAAAAAATCTGCATTTAAATTTTTCATTTTAACGTTGATCAAATTTTTGACCCATTTTCATGTCAGTTATTTCCAAGTTTCCGAAGACTTGTAAAAAAGGTGACTCCCAATTGGACTTCAAGAGTCCATAACTTTGCCAAATTTAAACCGATTTCAAAGTGGCATACCTCTAAAGATTTGTGATCCAATTCTCTGAAAATCTGCATTCAAAATTTTCAATTTAACGTTGATCAAATTTTTGACCCATTTTCATGTCAGTTATTTCCAAGTTTCCGATAACTTGTAAAAAATGTGACTCACAATTGGACTTCCAGAGTCCATAACTTTTCCAAATTTAAACCGATTTCAAAGTGGCATACCTCTAAAGACTTGTGTTTCGATTCTCAAAAAATCTGCATTCAAATTTTTGACCCATTTTCATGTCAGTTATTTCCAAGTTTCCGAGACTTGTAAAAAAAGTTACTCCCAATTGGACTTCAGGAGTCCATAACTTTGCCAAATTTAAACCGATTTCAAAGTGGCATACCTCTAAAGACTTGTGATTTGATTCTCAAAAAATCTGCATTCAAATTTTTCATTTTAACGTTGATCAAATTTTTGACCCATTTTCATGTCAGTTATTTCCAAGTTTCCGAAGACTTGTAAAAAGGTGACTCCCAATTGGACTTCAAGAGTCCATAACTTTGCCAAATTTAAACCGATTTCAAAGTGGCATACCTCTAAAGACTTGTGATTTGATTCTCAAAAAATCTGCATTCAAATTTTTCAATTTAACGTTGATCAAATTTTTGACCCATTTTCATGTCAGTTATTTCCAAGTTTCCGAAGACTTGTAAAAAAGGTGACTCCCAATTGGACTTCCAGAGTCCATAACTTTGACAAATTTAAACCGATTTCAAAGTGGCATACCTCTAAAGATTTGTGATCCAATCCTCTGAAAATCTGCATTCAAATTTTTCATTTTAACGGTGATCAAATTTTTGACCCATTTTCATGTGAGTTATTTCCAGTTTTCGAAGACTTGTAAAAAATGTGACTCCCAATTGGACTTCAAGAGTCCATAACTTTGCCAAATTTAAACCGATTTCAAAGTGGCATACCTCTAAAGACTTGTGATTTGATTCTCAAAAAATCTGCATTCAAATTTTTCATTTTAACGGTGATCAAATTTTTGACCCATTTTCATTATAGTTTTTGTAAGTTTCCAATGACTTGTAATAAGGTGACCCAATCTTCGGCTTCTAGAGTCCATATCCTTACCAAATTTATGCCAATTTCAAAGTGACATAGCACTTTGATTCTCTAATAATCTGCATTATAATTTGATCAATTTTCTCACCCAATCGGACCATAAGCTGTATTACTTGAAGGGCGGAGATGATAATCCGCTTGTCTCGGGTCTGAAAGGCCCGTTTCAGTGGAAGGATCAGCTTGGGCAACACCGGGAGCACTTTTTTGGGGGACCTCATGATGAGATCGATGGCTCCGTTGACGGCCAGCAACCGCGTGTCGTAGTCCATGTCCGCCAGTCCGTCCACGAAGATGGGCAGGTAGTAGCAGTAGTCGAGATTCTCCGGCACACAGTGCCACTTCACCGGACGCTCCTTGGTCGGATCCTGTTTGCTACTCCGGCCGGACATCACGCACGGAATGTCCCCGCGGTTGAAGTAGATCTTGAACACCGTCTCCTTCACGGGCTTCCTTTTAAATATGTCGATCCTGTGGATCAATGGTTGAAATTCATAATTTTTTAATCAAATTTTGTGATTTATATTTAACTTACTTTGGAGGCGGCTTTACTACCGTGTTGGGCTGCAGTGCTTGATAGGTAAAGGCAGGGACTTCACGTACCGGCTAAAATTATAATAAATTCCTTTACTAACTTTAATAAATTTAAACCTCTCTAAGGCTAGTGGGGAAATTAATATGATAGCTTGATTTTAAATATTTTTATATCCATATTTAAAGAGCTCGGAAATGTTGTTTAATAGTCAAGTGTGGTTTAATAGCTTTAGTATCTCATATTCACTCTCTTGTTATTCACTTACCACCTTCGACCTGAGATACAGTAGTTCCCGACAAACCTTTCCCGGTTCGTGGATTCGTGTGGCACGTTCGTTGGTCTTGGAACACATTGTCAGTAGAATTAAAACCACTAACAACTTAAAAAAACAATTATAAAACTATGTGTGTGGAGCCTAAGCTTCGAAGCATTCAAATATAAATAAGTCTCGTGGACAAGATTTTTTGGAATTGTTGTAGAAAATATTCACGGATGTTTTTTGAATGGGCTACTGGGTAAAAATGCCAATGAAACCACATACAAATATTGGAATTTCGAGAGTGGCCTGACAGTATGGACCAAGATTGCTCATAGATAAATTGTAAAAAACCGAAGCAGACAACAAAAAAAAGAAATAAAGTGTAAATAAATTATACGCATATGTATGAAAATATTTTTCTATACGTTCTTATCAAGACGTCAACACTCGCCCCCATCCGTGAAACCGAATAATTTTGGGGTGTCGTCACCCCTCGCACTTTCACACCTAAAAGTGTTTGGCGTCTCTAAATAGTCATAAAGGGAAAGTGCAAACATTTGCGCACTTTATCATCTTTTCCCATTTCCCATTTCCCGTCCCCCAAGTTTTTTGAGCGGTAAATGTTACGGTAAATATTTTGTAACTCCCGCCAATTAAGGCGTCTACTGGAGGTCCCCCCCCAACTTTCATTTTGAAAAGCCCCCTCCCCTCGCAAAGCATTAACCTACTTAAAACGCTGGGAAAACGAGACAGATACCCAAGTCGACCTATCTCTGTTGCTGTTGCCCTGAATTAATTAAAATCCGACATGCGAATTACTTGACTGTCCTTATCTGACTCTGTTTTCCAGCTTCGTCTTTGGCTTTTCCAGCTCCTGTTTTTAATTACCCACGCACAGCTTTTCACTTTCGCCCAACACATCGTTGCACGTCGCGATTTATCCGTTTTAATAATGTCGAGAGGATTGGGGGCGTGGCATCCCGTGACTCCCCAACTTTGCCTGGATTTGCCTTTGCCCGGGTTAAGCTTCTGTCGCTTTCTGGCATGCAAATTGAGTTAAAGGCATTTAGGATTATGGAGCATAAGGACGGGCCTCGCTAATTGCTTTACATTTCTCCAAGGAAATATGATGGGTCTCAACGCGAGGAATTAGCAAATATGAATAAATAGTGGGGATTATCAAATAAAATGCATCTTAATGAACTTGGGCATTAGTTTATCAGTTTTATAGTAGGTCGCTGAATTTCATATTTAATGGTGCGTTGTTAAGACCGCGTAGTTTTTTTAACTACTCCAAAATAAGACTCACAGCCAAAAGAATGACTCTTTAGTGCAGCTAAGAACCTATAGAATCAATTCCTGGTTGATTAGGGAAAAATAATTTTTTCACAGATTTTCGCATTTTTTATAAGGGATATCCTCATAATTTTTTTCGAAAATTGGACCAAAATACAATTTTTTAGCTGAGAATACCAATAAATGGGAAATTTTGTAACAAATTCAACGAGGTATTACAAGATCTGACCATTATTTCCAAGGCTTCTAATCAAAAAAACGATCTGATTTTTTCAAACTTTTGGTTTAACATTTTTTTTTATTGGTGTAAAGCAGGAAATGAGATATTTCCGAATAAGCATCATATGAGCCAGACTTTGTTAAACTTTGATTTCATTTTATATTCACTGATCAGCCCCAAAGTAGGCAATTTATCAAATGCAAAATAATTATTAAATTTCACCCATTAGGCGACCACTGAATGGAAAATCGAAACAAAAGACAGCGTCGGCAGACGACAACTCGCAAATTCGCACTGTGGAAGCGAGGGCTTTTACAATGGCCACAGCGCAAATCAGCCGGATCATAATTTATTGGGCCCAAAATGGGAAGTATAACCCACAGAGCTATGATGGGGACCAAAATGGACAAAAGGTCCGGGATTTAGGTGAGGTGAGCCATCGGTGAGCCGAGTCCGTGGGTTTGGGGTGCGTTTGTCTAGCTGACACTTTCATTAACAAAAAGTCAGAGCGATGACAACGGGGTGTGTGTGTGTGGAGGGAGGGGGAGGGGGAGGGGGTGGACCTGTCTGGTTGTTTTTGCATTGTTACAAAGTGCAATTCTGGGTGGGAATCGAGGGGGAGGTGAGGGAAGGGGTGGCGTACTTCATATGGCTTGTGGGTGGTGATGGCCATTCAGCTGACATGGCTGCAGTGCGGCACGTAAATCTAAACAGCCACTGACAGCTTTCAACTGGCACTCACTCCCACTTTTTATGTGCTGCTCGAAATGGACAGTCGGAGGGGGAGTTGGAGGGGGGAGAGGGGGTCTGAGCCCATCTTGAATGTCATATAAGCCATATACATATATATCAATATCCTGGCCATATATCAATATGCACGCGCTCACATATATCTACTTTCGTTGGCTTGTTTGTCTGAAATTGACATCGCCTGTATGCTGTATTCAGTATGCCCCTTCATCCCAAAACATGGCCAACAGGGTTTTGGCCTTTTGTTTTCGGCCCGGTAGTAGACCGTATACTACTCCTACAGTCCGGCCGAGATTTTATGTTCGCATACATTTTGAGCGCTTTATTGTTTGTCCAATTTCATGCAACATGGCCGGGCCAAAACGACAGGGAGAGTAATCGAGTATCCGTTGTCTGTCTCGTGTCAGGAATAAAGAGCTCCATCTCCATCCTGCTGGCCGTTAGGTGTTAATCTAATAACTGTCAAATGCAGGATGTTGGTACTTCAGATTGGTAGGAAAATTGCTGCTAACTCGCTTCGAGTGGCGTATAAATTGTATCGAAAGGAGATCAGCGATAAAATGGGAAAACTGAAAGGATTAGAGCAGAACAAAAAAGAGTTTAGAACACTTTACAAAATGTAATAACCAAAAATAGAGAACATTTTTAAATATGTGCCAATAAACAGACTAAAATCAAAGAGTTTTCATTGACTGCAAAATGTGGGAAAATGGTTTATTACATAGCCTTGTTTGAACCCAGAGCAGATACAAATAAAAATAGTGATTTGGTACTTAAAGTATTTTCCTCCATCCCTTTTGCTCGGCAACCATTCAGAGATCAGACTTCAGTTCCAACTTATAATGGCTTTCACTGTGTTTATTTGGCTCAATTGCGCTTCTGGCAGCCTAAGAATAATTTCTGCATCGCCAAAATCCCATAAAAATCAACAACTTCGAGACGGGGCCCATATGAGCATCTAACTGCTAACTGCAGGCCCGGTCACAAGAGCAGTCGAGCATTAAATGGCCACGACCGAATCGAAGGGCCAGAGGGCTGGGATTCTGGGACAAGGATAGTGTAGTTCCAGCACATCCCATGCAGACAGATAAAAGTCCCGCTCTGTAGTCTAACATTTTTATGAGTCGTAAATCGAAGCGATAAAAATCACAAGAAATGGAGATACAAAAACAAACAAGCCTGCGAACCGAGTGAGAGGTCAGTCCGGAGTGTCTAGACCGGACTGGGTTAGACTCTCGGTCCCATCGTATCTCTCGCAAGTCACACGATAAATTCTGCAACATTGCGCTAATAACAACAATGCACTTGCAAAAATACAAACAAAGTATAGGCTTTTAAAAGACACTTCTATGATTTAGCTCATTTTGCATTTTAGTATTTTAAATAAAAAGGTCTTAATAACATATGAATAATTAAATAGATAATGGTCAGTTCACTTTCATAAGAAATGTTGAATTATTAAGTTTAGTTTCTAATATGTTGAAAATCAAAAAACGTTCAACTTCTTGGAAAAATATAATTACAAATAATTATTTCCTAAAAATAAATTTTCCAAATTTTGGAAATATAGAAATTCTTGTATGTTAAATAAGGTTGGATAAAATAAATCCCATGTTTTAACTGTCAAACCAAAGTTTATTTAATGGGTCCTATTCAGTTTGGGATTATATATTTATATTTAACGAGGACGGAAGCTAACTTCGGCAAGCCGAAGTTTTAATACCCTTGCAGACTTTGACGAAATTGCTAAAAGTGAAAAAGTAGCGAAAGGAATAAGGTATACATAAGTAAACTAGATTTGCATCGTTTCAAGTCAATTGATTTTATACTGCAAAAATGTCATATACAAATAGAAAAAAAGGGATACTTTCGCAGCCTTTAACAATTTTTCCTATCTCCTTTAAGATATAGACTTCCGAGCGGCAAGCGCTTTTACCCTAATCAAGATATGCGTAAATAAATAAGAATTGGAAAATTTTATGTTAGTAGCTTACACACTGCGCGAAATATTCTGATAATCATCAAATTTGGACCGATTTCACCCTATTGTTCCTATGGGAGCTATAGGATATAGACGTCCGATCGGCACGCGCTTTCACCTTGATCAATGTATGCATAAAAAAATAGGATTTGGAAAGATTCATGTCAATAGCTTGTATACTGCGTGAAATATCCTAAAAATCATTAAATTTTAACCGATTTTACCCTTTTGTTCCTATGGGAGCTATAGGATATAGACGTCCGATCGTCACGCGCTTTTACTCTGATCAAGGTTCGCATAAAAAAATAAGATTTGGAAAGATTTATGTCAATAGCTTTTACACTGCGCGAAATATCTTCCATTCTTGCAAGTTATATCCGATTGTTCCTATGGGAGCTATAGGATATAGACATCCGATCGGGGCGGTTTTCAAACTTGATCTGCGTACACTTGTTTTAGGACGACTGTGAAAGTTTCAGATCGCTAGCTTTTAAACTGAGCTCGCAAACGGTATTGAAACAGACGGACAGACGGACAGACGGACAGACGGACAGACGGACAGACGGACAGACGGACAGACGGACATGGCTATATCGACTCCCCTATTGATCCTGATCAAGAATATATATACTTTATAGGGTCGGAAACGTCTCCTTCACTGCGTTACAAACTTCTGACCAAAATTATAATACCCTCTGCAAGGGTATAAAAATATCCAAATGTTGGTGATAGGAAAACTGGTTAATACAATTTTTGTGATATAATTTTTTTACCTTCCAGTTGCAAAATATAATTGTTTTGGGCGTTTCATCTAAATGAGTTTGACATTATATGTTTAAAATTATAAAAAAAGGAGGATGACCGGGTTGAAATGGAAAGTCTCATATACTAACAACCTTTGTTGAAAGCACACCCCCAAAAAAAGCGGATAATGTTTTCCGAGTGCATTTGCCCAGATCGACAGAAGTCGCCCTGCATTCTGAAAGCGGCGGAAGTTCATTATTGTCAGTGATTAATGACAAGAAGCGCGGATGGATTTCGGGACGTGGATATGGCCAGTGGCTCTGCAGTTGACTCTCTGCCCGGGCCACATAAGTTAGCTGTTGCTGTCAGCTGGACCGAACCCGAACTCAAACCCAAACTCGAAACCGAAACCGCCTGGCTGGAAACAAAAAAAATCGGAAGCCAGGACTCGCAGAGTCTGAAGCCTGAGGGCAGGCCAGAAAAAGCGGGGACCACAGGACTTCGGAGCACAGGGACGAGCTGTTGACATCACTCCGTCCGTCAGTTAGCTGGAAAATGCATTGCTGCCAGCTGCCAACATGATTAGCGCGTTGATTTGGCAACCGATTGCCGAGTGCAGTGCATCCGAGCCAGCTTTTCAGCCATCCTCAACAGAGTTTGACTTGCCAACTTCGCTCCTCCGCCAATGCCAATCCGGCATTTATCCCGACCCTCCTGGAATGTCCTTAAACTTATGCAGTGCTAAGCGGCATTGACAACGGCACGCACACATCGTTTGACAGAGGCGGAGTTTTCAAAGGGGGGTAGCGCAAATCGGAGGACTCGGGCCGCCCTTCTGATGGTTCAATGTACGACAAGTGAAATTAATTTCAAACAATGCAGCAAACTCCGAAAACAACAAAGCCGGAAAAGCTAAAACCCCTCGACAGCAGAAGCAAATTAAATAAAAATTCCAACATGAACGTTACCACGGAGAGAGTTGAACTTCACTGAGCAAAAATAGTTAAAGGATTCATTTTAATTTGCTTCGAAATACTTAGGACATCTTCAAATGTCCCTTTTCTCATAAATATTTTGTTGTATTCATTTTTCGAATATAAATTAATGTTTTCTTAAATATTTTCAGAATTAGCATATAATTTTAAGCCTAATATTTCAATTTAAATGCATTGACCTAGAACTTAATCATTACAAATACATTTTTCAGTATATATATCTAAAAAAATATATTTATTGGGTCGTCAAAAGTTTTCAAAGACATCGAAATTAAATCATATAATTTTTGTATATTTAGTTTTGATGAATTTTATTCAAACAAAGATTTATTTTAATAACTTAAGCTGTTTACTGAGAGATTTTTTAAAATTGTAAATCAGTAATCGTTGGCTTTTGATAGTGTACTTTTAGCATCCTGATGAGGAGTCTCGGGAGCACAGTGGATTGCCATATGACAGACTCAATCTACGTGCTTCGGGTCGATGAGTAAGCCAAGTTAAGGGCAAGCAAAAAAAAATAGAAGACGAAGCAAACCAAACTTGTCGAAAATTATTTCGTTTTAATTATGCCAAAGGGCGTTGTCAAAAGACGTGTCGAAATGTGTCGCCGTTGTGGATGCACTCTAAATGAAATCACGTCACCGATTTGCCCCGCCCCTTAAAGCACCGCCCACCCCTCAGACCAAATTCCCGACACTTCAGGTTGCCTACTACAACTTTTCCGTTGTCATTATCAATTTGAGTTAATTGCCGCAGCCATCCTGGCCAGAATGTTGCCATTTTGCTGCTGGATGGTTGGCAGCAGCCATAGCCGTTCTGCTGTCGTCACTTCCGGTCTGGGGATTCCCCTTCTTCCCTCCCTTCGATGTTCCCCACTTTCCCCCCTCCCTTCACTAGACGACGCGACAACGCATTGTCTGTGACTGTTTGAAAGCGTTTAGTCGAAATTTATTTGTATTACATGTACATGCCAAAAACTGCAGACATTTTCAGGACTAAGGGAAAGGAGCCGTGGCGAAATGTTGAATTATTAAATTAAGTACTTGTTTGATTATGATATAAATTCCCTCGAACAGCGAAAACAAGTTTAAGCATTGAAGTACCTGTGGCAATTTATTGCAGCAATTGGCAAACAAGTCTTAAGAAAGATAATATGACTTTGTTGGTATGTAATGTAAAAAGTAGAGACTTTAAAGACCAACAACCTTACATATTCCAAGAAAATATTTGCAGTCTTAATCTTTTGCTTTATAAAAAACAGTCACTAAGTTAAATAAAAGAAGCTTTGAAAACAAGCGTTCCATATCTTAAGTGGTTTTTAAATTATCCATGCCTTAAACGGCTTTCTTTACTCTGTGTACTCGTTTTCCGTTTTGATAAATATTAATCAAAACCGCAATTTATCAACCGCTTGCTTGCATAAACAATATACTAAAAAAAAATACTGTGAACTCAATAAAAAAAAACTGTAAAAGCTTCATAATACCAGATTATTACAAAATAATCAATGATCTTATATTATTCTATGTATAAATGTTCTTTGTTCCTTCATGAGAAGTAATCTTTGCATCTAAAACGTGTAATCAGAATAGGCACAAAAGTTATACGTTGAGTAATTTGTAAACAAAGCGCAGAACAAAATAAAACTATACAGTTTATATATAAATTGAAAAATGAATCATTTTTATATAAAAATTAGAAAATGAGGAAGCATTTGAACTTCAGAAGTCGATAAATTCTATGAGCAATCAAACGCTAAGAAAAAAAATGTAATGAGGTTTTGCTTTATTTTTAGCTATCATTTGACCTAGACTACTATTTGTTTTTCTATCATACACTGATCTCACTTCACTGATCGATTTGAGCTTGTATTTGATGTATTTCATTTCTCAACTTTTCGTTATTTATTTATTTATTTAATGTAACAGAACCTAGAAATTTTTAATAAAACCTAATATAACTTACTCAATTCAATTCGCAGACAAATGATATTTTTCTGACACATTTTTCGTCACCCATCAACAGCTCCTCGCCCTTGAACTCTAAGGACCCACAGAAGCCAGTCGCAAACATCGGAGCTCAATTTTGCATGTGATTGGGCAACATTTAAACAATATGTGTGATTTTTTTCTTCCAAAAATATTAAAAATTGTCTGAGATACAGGCAATCTCCGGCGGCGCCTCAAATAAAAGATGTCACAGAATCATCTGAAATGCATAAATCCAATTACATTAGTTAAAGAACAATATTCCTCAGGTAACGCTGTCGAGTTTTTATTTTTTTTTTTCGATTTTTTAAGGCATTTGAAAGTTAAAAACACCAATTTTCGCGTACAACGTCGAGATATTTGTTGTTATAAAAATAATATATTTTCAAAAAAAAAAAAAACTCGACAGCCTTACCTGAGGAATTTAGTTGAGAACAACTGTGCAAAATTTTAAAACGACCCGTCCGATAGATTTTGCAGGATCGTGTACACCGAATTTGAAAAGGGTAACTTTTCAGGAGAGCGTTTTAAAGTTTTGCACACCCATACAAAACGAGCTAACTTACCAACGTTCAACTGCCCATAAGTTCGGAAGCTTTACTCGGATCGATCTTAAGCTCTTTTCTTACTTACCGCCTTGTTAGAGTAGATTTTCACAAATGGTTTTGAACAGCAACCAGTTTTAATAGTCAATAGTCCTTAATTTTGAAAAAATTAGTTGCCAAGCTCACTATCCGGCCATTAGGAGGAGAAAGCCCGTTAGACACACGAAGGATTAGATTTAAACATGTAGTAAATGAAAAAATATAATATAATTAAACATTTTATTATTTTTGCTTGGAGTTATAGTATTTCCGACATGAGTTGAACCTTGTCCGCTGCGGGTTGGCTTGATTTTTTTGTCACTTGCCATCTGAGGTAAAGAATCAATAAACAAAACCACACAAAAAACACGATCACTATTAGAATGTCCCTATTTGGAGAATCCAGGGAAAGCCAGAGTTGCCAAATGGAAAAGTGGTACTCGCAGATATAGTAGTCGTCGAGGCCGTAAGTTGGTATCATATACAGCGAGGAGTTGGTCAGCTTCAGACTGAGATAGGACCTTTCCGGCAGTTTCTCTGTCCCTGGAAGCCAGTTGGTGAAGGCCAACGGCTCGTCGGTTGCCTCCCATGAATAGGGTGTCGGGCTGTTGAAACTATTGCCCGAGGTAGCGAAAGTGCTGCCATCGGGAAAGCCCTTCGATACGATGTACTGCTCCAAGTTGACCAGCTCATCCCTCGTCTCCACGGACACAAGTGTTGACACATTTCGCCTGCAATGTTGTCGCGCGATAAACCAGTCGAAGTAGTGCCCCGCCTTTAAGGAAAACCAAAAAGATTACATTATTTTTTATAACAAAAGTCCCATAATGCATAAATTTGTAAATTTCATATGATAAGCTTTTCAACTAGATTAATTGCACTACAAAAAGTAAATTTCACAACAATTTATATAACAATATTTATATTCATTTTATATAACAATATTTTTAGAACAAAAGTCCTCTGGAATGCATATTTATTTGTTAGTTTTTTAACGTTCCTTAGATTTAATATTATTTATTGCGAAATTGATTTTAAATTCGACGAACAATCTTAAATTTGTTTAATATTTTCAGAATCGTTTGGTATCATTTCATTGAAATATTTGATCAAACTTTTTAATAGTTTAATGGTTAACTGAACACTTTTTTATAACCGCATACTTACACGAACAATTACTTTATATTTTCAATAACTTTTCTTATTATAAGCCACATAAGTAGTCTAGTTTTCTGTTTGATCGTAACTCACTGTCTTTTCACTCCCTATATAGTAGTAACCATCGCCGATCCGATCGAAAACAGGCTCGCTTCTGCAGAAAGCTAATAGACAAACAGTGAAAAGAAACACTGCGTTCATTCTGCGTTGTTATTCCGTTTCGCTTGAAATCCACAATGAGTGCCTGGGGTAAAGTCATATTTAAAATGACCAGCACTCAGTCTTATCAGTGTTTTCCAAAGCTACACAATCAATAGCTTGTAAGCACTTGTAAGCGCAGTTGACGGATTTATTACGCTTTTATATATTTATTAGTTATTTAGAGTGTGAGAAGAGGACAAGTGAAATACCGATCAAGAGGTATTGTGCTAACTAGGGGAATAACCCCGAAACTACTTTGCAAAAATAAGCTGGCCTCAAAGAAATAGCAGTGAAAGAAATGGCACGCTTCAATAAAAATGCCTGTGTAGACAGAAAACTTATTTTCTTTGTTGAATAGGTTTCCAATCTAATCTAAATCGATTTTGCAAGCTGCATACAAGCATTCTAATACTTTTGAACAATTTACATTTTGAGCACGACTAATTTAAAATGAAAATCGCACTGTCTAACATTGAAAATATGTTATGTGTAATAAAGTATTTTGAATGTACGAATAATTTCGATTATACTATACGGGCAATTGAAATCTCTACATGAGCAGCACTCAGTTGTATTTAAAAAAGTCATTAGAAAATAAACAAATCTTTATCTTTCTGTTTACTTAAAAAACAATTTTTTTTTTTTTAATTTTAAGGTTTTAAAAACCAAAAATAGGGTATCGCAACTGTTTTTTAAAACACTGTGAGAACTGTACGTAATCTTATGTTTGAAACGAAGGTAAGTATTTAACATCCCCTTTATGATAACAATTATCAGGTTCTGATAAGCAGTTTAATGCACTTATAAGACCAACAGAAATGATTTTTTCATTGCACACACTGCATTTTACAGTGGTCTTATTTTAACATGCTTCCTTTTGTCGGAATTCAATTTTATTTCACAACCAGTTTATGAAAATAAAATAACACTGGACAACTCGAGATGTGTGTAGTAGGTACATATGTAGATATGTTGAGATACATCTGGCGATCAGTGCATAATCGAGTGCGAATCGGTGCCATTCAATGACTGTTCACAAATATCGATAGCTCGCACATAGCAGGATTCACTACTCATTATCAGTTCTCCACCTTTCAGTGTGAGTATTAGACAATTGCGACCCATTTCTGGAGTGGGCTCGTCCGGCGCCCAGTTCGAGTAGCTCAGCGGCCGGGCTCTGCCAAAGTAGTTCCAGTAGAAGCGATTATCCCCTGGCCACCGGTGGCCGGCACTCCAGAATTGGGTTCCATTCGGGTAGCCCATCTCGTAGAGGTGCTCGGCCAGAAACCGCATCTTCTCATCACTATCCAGGCAGACGCGCGAGGTGCGCTTGTCCTGATAGCAGAAGTTGTGGAACGATGTGTGCTGTGGGTCAGAATAAAAGAATGTAGTCTCAGAATACATTTTTGTATACCCTTGCAGAGGGTATTATAATTATTATAATTGGTCAAAAGTTTGCAGCCCACTGAGGGGCACATTTCCGACCCTATAAAGTATATATAGTTTTGATTAGCATCGTCAGGCGAGTCTGCCTAGCCATTTCCTTCTGTCCGAACAATCGTAAGAAAAAAGTGAAATAAAACTATAACTTCGTTGTTTCTTAACATACTTCGATGTATTGCATCTTACTTTTATATAAATCGGACGATTATATCTTATTACTGCCATTGGAATGATTGAATAATTGACCTAGCTTCATTGTATTAAGGCATCGAAATCGAAATATTGAATATTTAATTTTAGTAACAGCTGCAAGGGTACATAAACTTCGGCTAGCCGAGTTTGCTTCTTTTCTTGTTATATTTTTTTATATAGAACCCAATCGCTAAATAAATTGTCAACTTTTTAAATGACTAAAAACAAATGGTCTTTATCATGGTCCCTCATTAACATTACATTTTTTTCATTTCGCGAATGTATTTTAAGCCTGCTCAGTTAAGAATTTTTAAATGATTAACTCGAACTCAATTTTCACTAACTCATTTAAATTAGTTAGTTTCAGTTAGTACAACCATATTGCAAAAAGTTTCCTATATTGCATATAAAACTGATCAAAACTCAAATTGAATTCGAGTAAAACGCTCGAAAGTGAAAACCGGAACACCCCTGCAAAATGTTTCTCAACTGATATGGGGCTTCAGTGAATGATCGTCTAACAAATGCTGTTATAAACAGAATGCGATTAAACTCAACTTTAAAGACTCAACAGAGTTAAAGTTATTATCTGGGAAACAAAAAAACATTTATGTTTCACGTTAGCGATAGAGAGTTAAAAAATATACATTTTTTGGTCGAAATATGGATTTATTCCCTGCATTTCACTATATTTAAGGAACAAAATTGTATGGCAGATGTAACGTAGAGACTTGAATGGGTATTGCACCGAACTACTGACTCACCAGCGGTTTCTCATCGGCCACAAAGTAGCAATAGTTTTCCCGGACCCTCTCGTACGGAATCCTGCATCGCATTCCATCAGCCGGATTTCCCAGGAAAATGAGGCAACAGGAAATCGCCAGGAGATACTGGAGGGAATTGCGTCGATCTTTCTTCGGCTTCGGGCGATTCGGCATTCTGCTGAAATAAAACTGCCGGCAGTTTAAAATTGTGGCGTTATCGGTGTGAGCGGGGTGCTTATCAGCAAAGCGCTTGTTTGGGCTTTTTTTGCCTTTGCTGATAAGGCATTTCGCTGAACTAGCTCAAGATCACGACCAATAAAAGCTTTGCAGGCTTGAAATAATCAGTCACTTGTATTGTTTCAATGAGTTGTATGTAATTAGTCACTGTTTTTATTTCTCTGAATTGTATGTACAGTCAAACTTTACTAAGTACAATTTTCTCTAATAACTTAATTTTTGTTATATTAGAAGTTTTAAAAATTCAATTTGGGGTCGGCTCCTAATCACATTCGGTTAATGTATTGCATACTTGTTGGAGAATTGTAACGGTTTTGATCAGATTCAATATTACAAAAAGACTCGTAGAAAAAACGTAACTACTAATTTACTAAATTCATGAAATTAAACAAATTAAAAATTGCACTTCTAAAAATTATGATTAAGTGAATATAAATTTCGACTGATGCATATTGCAGTTTAAGTTGCGAAGGCATTCGAGCATTTTTGTTCACATTTCCTAAGGATCTACAGGACCTAAATTATAATGTTTTTGGGGATGGGTGATACATTCTTTAGATATTCCTATGGTAATGGGGTAAGTCATCTTTGCAACTTAGTTTGGGATCCACATCGAACATATTCACGTGCAACTTACCTTTTCAGATTTCTTGTACGCCCTTCCCCAATTTTGAGACCCACTGTAATACACAATTTTCCCCTGAACCAACTGTTATATAGAAATATCTCTCTCTTCGAACATTTCTTGTGTGTATGCCGCGCCGGCTTGCACGGAACCGCCGCCAGGTGGCGTCTTGCCCTATTGACATTTTGCTTTACTTCGCTCTTTCGCTAAAGCCGAAGACTGAACGAGAGAGCATCAGACATCGAACTCGTTACGAACATGCAACTTAAGCCGCCGGCTCGAACGTCAAACAGATTTTGGATAAATTTATGATTTTTAAATTATTTATTAAAATATGGCGTATACGAATTTTGTAATGATTCTAATGTGAGACCACAAAATTATCCGAAATGCTCGAACTTAATTGCACGCTATGATTTAAAATGTTCTTTAAATAATTGTTTAATAAACAGAAAGATATTGCTTTTAAATTTGGATAAGTGAAGAGATTGAAGAATTACATAGTTTTGGTAGACTTGGAACTATAGTAATAACATACAGATTAGCTAAGTCAAATTTAATATAAAATTTAAAAAAAACATAGAACGATTTGGAAAAACATAATTCCAGATAAAATATTGTAAACAACGGTCTTGGATTGCAACAAGTTGCAATACATGTTTGAACCGAACTTCGCAGTCAAACGACGCTGGCAGAGAAAATGTTCGACAGACAATTTTGCGTATCTATATCTATGCCTCTTCACAAGTCTCTGTTCGAACTGAAATTCCATGCCGCGAAGAAATACGTCCGTTGCTCCGTTGTGGAAAACAGTGAAAATCTAAAAGAAAAGCGTGTTAACCGCGCTAAGAATTAGAAGTGCGTGAAGAAGTGAACAATGTTTTGTTTATAGACCGATTTAGTTGGGATTTTAGCGGTAAAACAATGTTTTTTCGGTTTTTTTGGTGCTAAAACGACGCCGTCGCACTCGCACTCTTTCTCTCTCGCGGCGTCTCTGTCTCTCGCCCTCTCAATTTTTGAATTGCTTTTGTGCTGGTCGTTCGCCTTAAGATTGTTTACGAATTGCAGTGTGTGATAAAAGTGCAAAAAACTGGCGAAAAGTACAGAGAATCCAATGGAGTCCGCAATTAAATGCCACAAAACCGCAAAAAATATAGTGAAAATGAGCCGAAAACTGTGGTTACTTTCTCTGCTGACGCTGGCAGCTCTGCAACTGCGCTCGAGCAGCGGAGTGGCCGCACATTTGAATGTTTTCCTAAATCCCGTGGAAGTAATGCGTTTACTAGGTAAGTTTTTTTACCCCTTTTTTCATATTCTTTAGTTAGTTTTACCGATATTTTGAGTTGATATTTCTTTCCAATTAACTCTCTCTTTCACTCTCTATTTAAAATAAACAAAAGTTGAACAACTAAAAAGACAACTTAAAGTTTTCACTCATTGAAAAAAAAGCGCACTTCCTTTACGAAATTATGTTTATTTGTTTGCTTTTGGCTTAATTTAGATGCCCTCGCTCTATCGCCTCTCTCCGTCGCTCCCACTCCCACTCTCTCTCTCTCCTTTTTGCGCATGCCGCAGGTGTTGTTAAACAGTAAAACAAATAAACAAACCGCCCACAACAACAACAACCAACTTTCGTTTGCTTCGTTAGAAAATTTTACGCTTCGTAAAAGACCAAAAAACAAAAAAGGTAAAGAAGAGGAAGCAGCAGACACGGCAAAAAATTAAAACAACAACCAAGTCTGAAAATCTACATGCTGCATTCAATTTATCTCCATGGTGGGGAATATTTTTGAATATTTCTTGGAACTCAAATTCCTTGGCTCCCCAAAAACAAAAAAGGGATGGGAAAAGGCAAAAGAGATAGAGAGGGAGGAACATGCAAACGAGATGACAACGCAAAGGAGACAACAGCAAAGGCAAAAAAACAACAACGCAAACGTGACTGCGTGGAGCAGCGAAAAGAATATGGGGTGCGCAAGGGGGCAGGGCATCAGCTGTGAGGGGCGGAAGAATGCACAGTGGGGTGCATTTCATATATTCTACGAACTACACAAGTACACAGCCAAAACAAAAGTTTCCAATTCTCTGAGAATATAAATTCCTCACAAAGTTCTAAAGATCTATTTATGTTCTTTTATATATGTATTTCGAATTTCAAATTTGTTGAGAATTATACATTTGTCAAGGCTTTATGTCAATAATATCAATAAATAATGTTTTGCACATTGTGTTTATAAGATTACCTATAATTTCAGAAAAATATACTAAATAGTTTTAAATTTTTCCAGCAGACAGAACTTTGTTTTTTCTTTTAATACATACATAACTAGCAAGATAGTTAGGTAGACACTGTAAATTTAAAATTTTGTAAAATAGATGCTGAAATGCAAAGTTGTAACACCCACAGTGTGCCACTTCCTCCTCGGAGGGCTCACTGTATTTTTGGGAGTATTTAGCATGACAAGTCTGCCCACTTCAGTTGAGTTTTCTGCAGCTCCAGATTTTGGCATGCAACGCGCCTTGTTAAATCGAAGTTTTCTTCAACTTTTTCTAACATGTGTGGGAGCCGATTCGCTGACGATGATGACGATGCGCATAATTTTGCGTATGCATTTCGGATTTGCGATTTCGGGGGCGTGAAATCAAGTATGCAGAATATGCCAAAAGTCTGTGGGCTGCACTTCTCCAGCAAAACGCTGCAAATTGTATACACATACATATATCTACGGGGTAATTAAGACAAAGTCGAAAAGTTTCGCAGACTTGCGTAGGATATAAACGGCCATAAAGAAATGCGCAAATGCTTTGTACTCCTCACTCCGTGGGCCATAAATCAATTAAGCTGCATAATTTGCATTTGATTTGTGTGCGCAAAAAGGGGTTTAGGTGGAGGGGTTTCTGCGCGGTCTTTAGCCAAAGTTGCCGGCTTAAATAAATTTCATTTGCATTTACGCGTAATTTATAGCTGGCCGATGATCACACAAGTTCAGTTCCCTTTTTTTCTTTATCATCCCCACAGGGGTCCCGGCAAAGTTCAATGCTAAAAGTTTGAGTCATAAAGTTCCTGGCATCTGACAGTCATATGAAATACGATCCAGCCAGAATGGGTTGGGCTCACGATCGAATCATCCCATCATGCGTTTTCCAACTTTATTCCCATTTTAATTCCAATCATATTCCTCAGAAATAAACCATTACAAAGAGGAGCACCCAAAAAAGTTTAACGACTTTTTTTGCTGCTGTGACACGCGCTACATTTTAAATAGACAAAAGTACATTATTTAAATTTAATTTTATTGCCTGCCTGCTACAGTTTTCGTAGTTTTCCCTCTTTCTGTACGTTTTATGGCATTTTATTGACGATTTGGAATTTTTCCAGCTTTTTATGGCGACCATTTTTGGGTGCTTCGATTTAATTTAACTGTTTCTAGCCTGCTAATGAAGCTGCAATTAAAACTGAAATGGGAAAAGTAGAGATTAGGGGCCTTGCCAACGGCTTCGGCACGATTTTCACACTCTCGACCCGAAGAATGTGCTAAAATCGACACGCCCCCTCGCAAATGATCGATTGGCAGCCGCTTTGGGCCATAAATTAGTCGCTATGAAGTCGAAGATACTCAGAATATCGGGGAAAACGGAAAGATGGATGTATTAAATTTACCACCAACTGTGCTAAATGAATTGAGAGCTTGCGGGCCGAAGTGTGTTTGGCTTTTGTTTAGGCCAATTTAAATATTTTCATATTTGCCTATGTATCGGGGAACATATTGATGGCTTTTGTTATTTGAAGTGAGCCGCGGCTAAGCGGCTTACAACGCAAACAAGCTGCCAAGGTACGAGTATCTCGAAGATACACACAACGCGCTACTGTGGCAACTTTTAGCACCTAACCGTGGCTAAAGCTGTTGTATCTGTCGGATGGCCGTAACAAGCCAGGCATGTATCTCGTTTAACTCTCCTGCCGGCTTGTTTCTTTTTACACATATATTTTTGTATCTTGCGTTTTGTTTTCCCCTCGGCCAAGTAGAGACATTTGCGCGCTTCTCCGGTTTATGGCTTGTTCTTGGCTGCCTTTCCAAGATCTTGCCAGCCGATAATTGTGAACGAGCAGGCCGTTTTCATCTGGTCGTGCTAAAAGCCTTCCGAGAAACGCCACCGATCCTCGCAAACATTACTCCCTCCCCTCCCAACATCCCAATGCTCCCCTGCTAACGGTTTTGCGCTAGCTTGCTACTTGCTGGATATGATCAGCAGGCATGATCTATATTTTAATTGGTGTTTGGCAATTTATTGTCCAGTTTCGCCTTTCGCTGGGCTCCAGCCACACATAATGAAGTGGCCATTAGCTAATGAAGCTGTGCCCCTCTTGAAAGCAAAAAAAAAAATGGTGAGGGAGGGGAAAGTTTATGGACCTGATCGTGCCAGTTTTTGCTATACGATGTGCTAGCGTTAACAGCTCACCTGACAGATCGTAAAAAGTGCTATCCTAAGGAGTTGACACAGCTGTCGCGTCTACAGATCTTATCTGTTCAATTAGTGGTCGCGAAAGGGGACCGTAAACTGTGTTAACCGGAAAGATCTTGATCCAGAGTATCACATCTTCAAGGTAAAAATGTCTTTACTTTTTATATCTGACCATCACTTAGCATATAGTTTAAATACATCGAGTTGTTAACGAATGAAAGGCATTTTCTTTTCTATTTGAAGTTTAACACTGCTGAGTTAGTTAAAGATTCTCATCATAAAAATAGTTAAGGTGGCACTAATCGATTTAATTTACTGCATTGATTTTTCCGTGTCTAATTTATCGTAGATGTATGTAATATCATCTTTAAGCCATACCAATTTCGATCTTGGGATTATACTCTCAAAGCAATTTTTAACAATCGTCTAATCAGATCCTCTCTTGATTTTTATCTGACAGCGTGGATAACTGATCATCTCTGCCTTTATTAAATTTATTATCTATTTCGGACCCAGTTTATCACGTTGTTCTGTGATCACTTCCGAACCAGCTTTCTATGGTCCACGATCATCACAGATATTTATCTGTTCGTACGTGACTTATGAGCCAGTCCCAAAAGTTCGTGTCTGGGCATTGGGATCAATATTTCGATTTTATTTTCAATCTATTTTTAATGCGATCAAAGATCGTGCGGCCTCGTAGGGCTATCGATTTCGAATTGATGGGCACTTGGCGGGTCATAAAGTCTCCCCAAACCAAACAAGATCTCAACTCTCCGATTTCATTACGATTTTTTGATAGCAGAGTGTCGCATTACCCGGCGACGTGTTTTGACATTGGGAACTGCGATTTGATTAGGCGCGGTTTGTGGACTGCAACAGGGCCAAATGGGAGGCTCAGGGCCATTTGCATACTTATTTTATGGGTTCATATGTCTGCCGACTGTAAACCGCCATAAACTTGGCTAAGCCCGGGCTTAAAGCCATTTCCATTACCAACGAAACTATTGACAAAAAACGGCATTTAAACAAATGAAAATCGCATAAACCGATTGCAGGCAATAAAAGCGACTGCATACTTTGCCGGCAAATAAACAATGAGGGGAGTGAGAGTGGGGCTCGATGCTCGTCAAAGGCTTACTGAGGGGCTGACTCCGACTGAAACTGTGGTTATCACTGGCAACTGACAACTCTGATAACCCCGCCGGGGGCTGCCAGATGCAGAGCATCGATGAGGGGCGTGGGGCGAATGTCAATAATAAATATCAGCCATTGTTTGCCCGGCTTGTGCTCCCTATACAATATATGCATACATGCAAGCTCAATATGCATGCACTGTATGGCAAAAAACGAATAATCATATTTACTTTAAGCAAGAACAAGCGCTATCAATATCTGTCTCTGCACAGAGAAAAACTATTCAAAAGTGACTTTTGCATTGTTCTAGTTCACATTTGGAAGGAAGGAAGAAATAGTTCAGCAACATTTATTCCCAATTTCTTAACGACCTGAATCCTAAACAAAATGAGTAAAGATTCTTTGACAGTTTACCAACTCAAAGCTTTACATTACATTAAGAAATCGGCCAATAATGATGAAACTAACAATAATGTTGAGGTATACTAACTTTCTTTTGTGTTATTTTGTTGGGCTTAGTTTAAATGTAATTTATTTAAGATACAAGTGCTTCTTTAGACCTGGAGTCGTGTCCTTATTAAAATTTAACTTTTTTTCTCTGTATAGCGTTGGAGCAGCAACCGAGTTTATTTCCATGTCACTGTGACATGTGGGCGCTACAAAGGGGGGCGTGGCAGCTTTGGGCAACTGCAAAGATGCAGATGCAGTGCGTGCATCTGGTCTTTGTTGTCGCTGCACTGTGTTTATTGAGTTGTTCGGTGTTTATTTGGGTTATGCGCTGTGGGAGTTTTCCGTTGCAGAAAGTTACATGGAAAGTATCGAAGGGATGGCGAATAATACCCATCGGAGTGGGCGGCGGAGCGGAATGTGTATAAAAACAAGCAGTTGGCATGTTTCTCTGAACCATCTATGTGCATCGCTAACTAGGCATAGTATGGCAATCCGTGAGATGTATGTGCTGCTAACACGATTTTGCTGACATTCCCACAATGGGAAAATTCGTGATACGCCTTGAAGTATTGGTATAGATGGCTTTGCAAACTGGTAGATAGCGTGGCATCTGCAAGATGCTAATCTACAGAGATTTTATCTGATTCGTGTGCCCTAAAGTTGTTGCAGCTAGGACATTTTTGATTTTTATCACATTCATTTTAATACAAATATTAAAGCCAATAACTTTTCAAGCTACTGAAGAAAAACATGATTTGTTTATACAGCTATTGGTATGATTTGCTCTTTGAGAGGATTGTACTTCTCCGATTGATATTGTGTAATGCATATTGCCTTGTGTCATTTATTTCCCTCAAAAATCCGTTTGTATTTTGGAAAACTTTGGCTAACCGACAGTTTATAGCTTGGCAGCTGCAGACACTCGAAGCTCAATTATCTTCAAGCACCATCACTCTTGACCCGCATCATTTATACATATACTTTTGGGAGGCTGTCCTCTTCTCTCACAACTCAACGCTCCGTAAGACAACAGAAAACTGACAAAAAATGAATAACGATTAAGGTTAATTACTATTGATTCTGGATATAACAATAAGCCGGCCGGTCAAAGCCGTTTTCTTTGTCAGCCGGCCAAGTTGTTTGAAAAACGTCAACTCTCGAAATTTGAATGATTAATTCGAGCTAATTTTCGGAGAGCCCCCGAAAAAGGGAAAACCAAATCTCCGCGTTAACTGTGCCAAATCGCTTGACTTGGCAGAGATTTTGCCCTAAAGAGATGGCTAATTTTGCTGGCACAAATTTGTTACAATCAAAAGACGAAAACGAGAAACGAGAACGTTTGAGCCCGCGGCTGGAAAAAAGGCCAACCAAGCAGGAAAAAAAATATTAGGCAAAACAAAAGGAGCGCAGCATCATTTATCATAACGACGTGAGGCAACTAAGAAACGATTCACACAAAGATACGGATGCGAGTGGGGGAGATTTTCAGGATGAGGTGGTGTGTCGGTTGGAGACATGGCTCAAAAACATGTTAAATGTTGACATGTGGTGGGCGTTCGTTTTTGGGGGTGGTGCCCCGAGCTTGTAAGCGAGATTGTTGTGCGTGATAAGCCGGGGGGATTGGGGACTTGGGGGGGGGTGAACATTGAAGGCGGTTCCCGGCAGGCGCCGATCATTTGTTTTATTTATTTTTCGATTTGGCCACAAACTGCACAAAAGACCCGGAGCAGATTTCAAGCCAATGCAGCCAAAGTGACATATTAGCCATTAGATGGGGGAAACCGAAGCCCGGAATATTGGCCGACTGGCTGGGGTTGCAGAGTCTCCAAGTCGGAGGCTGCAAAGGTTCAATGCGGTTACGGTGCAGATGGAGTCGCTGTGCCATCATTTATCATCTATTGCAATTTTGTTTGCCTGGGAGGATTGGACAAGATAAAAGACGCTGGAGTTGCCCGAAGACCTCGGCAGAGGGTTGTCGTTGTCCATCTGCCCCACGTACCAGTCTGTTTGCTTAAACAAAATTGCTTGTAGTCACAAGCTGAGCCTGGGATATTTGTCAAATGGAGATAATGGCTAAGGAAGCCTTGAAGTTGATGAAGGAATACGACAGTAAATCGAAGGTGTTGCTATGGCGCTAGTTTTCATAAATTACCCATCACTTACGGTCCATTTATATACATCAGGGATCTAACTTCGAAATACCCTCATTTATCTTTCCAAAGACCCAGTTCCGAAGTGTATAAAGAAAATTAAAAGCAGGGGTGTTTGGTTTTAATGCATACTTTTTTTATGATAACAAATTATTATAAGGTATAGATCATTATAAAGCTTAAATATAAATGTTTAAAAACAGGTATTAATCAATCGAATCCTGCCTGCTATATTTTTATTAAAAATCAGTGTGCGGAAAACTTCATTGAATTCGATTAAATAAAGTATTTTAATTTTCTAAAAATGGCATCGTTAACCCCAAGTAGTTAATTTGCAAAACAAATACTTCCAGCCTTTGCTCCTTGGGAGTACCCCATTCAGATGGCTTCCCACACCCAACCACCACTCCCTGCCCAAAAAAAAACAAAGTTATGAGATGGCCACTGCCAACTCACTGACCCCAAAGAGTGACCCCAGCGAAAACTCTAATTTTTTGCTGGTCTTTGTTTTGGGTTGGGAAAAATCAGCATAGGAAATCGGCACAGCGGAAAGCACTTCACGAATTGCAACGCTAATTACATGAAAATGGAAACCGAACCGTAGACATTTTTTTTCCGTTTTTTTTTTTTTTTTTATTTTGGTGTACGAGTGTCTCCGGCCAGTCGTTTCGGCAGTTCTATGTGGATGCCCCTCCGCTTCTTGGCAGCGGTGTAACAATGGTCACGACTGTGACTGTGACTCTGAGCAGTAGCAAGCTATTAAAAAGTTGCAAAAAATACTAGCAACGACAGCATCATGACTGCACGCTCCGAAAAATTCGACATACGATATGGGAGACTCTCGACGCCGCCACCACCACTACCACCTCTTTTTGCAGCTCCTCATCGCAGGCACGCCCACACGGAGAAAAAATATCATTGATAGCACAGCCATTCGGTAGATTTTAGTATCACAGAAACTTCTTTATGAAATATATTAAAATGGTCTAGGCAATATGTACAAAAACCTTATTTTAAGACATGTTAAAGGTTTTCTTAATCATAAGCTATTACCTTTTTGATCTTAGTTTATATTATCTCTTGTGATTTCTAAGAGAATAGACTGAAGTGATATTCATGCGATTTTCTCTCTGTGCGTTGAGAAACCCAGCCAGTTATGAACATGGCGGATAATACGGGCACAAAAAGGTTAAAAAAGTTCAAGAGCCGACCCGCGTTGGGCGCATGCAAGTGACATTTGCTCGTGACATGAGGTAGACGACAACGAATCCACTCCAAGACGCGGCCCTCGACAATCCCATCCCAGATCCCAGATCTCAGCCCCGTGCACCTTATGAAAATGCAATAGAGCGGCAACTTTCACATGAACCTGTGAACTCCGGGCCCAAGTGACGACTCTTGGCCGGGACATCTTTGGGCCTCGGTGAAAAGGGTCAATGGAAGCGTGTCTGAGGCTGAAAAGCTGCCT